TATTAAAGTCCCCCGTTATGACGGTGTTAAAGTCAATATCTTTCTTGAATTTTCCTAGAAGCTTCTTTATGAAAGTTGGTGCTCTTATGTTGGGTGCATATATGTTTAGGATAGATATTTCTTGTTGATGGAATGAACCTTTCATCCTTATGTAGTGGCCTTCTGTATCTTTTAAAATTTTTGATAGCTTAAATGGTATTTTGTCTGAAATTAGGATCGTGACTCCTCCTTTCTTTTGTGTTCTGTTCACTTGAAAATTTGTTTCCCATCCTCTTACTTTGAGTCTGTGTATGTCCTTTCTAGTGAGATGGGTCTCTTGAAGGCAATATATTGGTGCCTGGTGATATTTCATCCATTTTGCCATTCTGTGTCTTTTCAGTGGTGCATTTAGTCCATTCACATTCAGGCTAATTATTGAAATGTGAAAGCTGGTCCCTATCATAAAGTTCTTATAGGGTTGTTATTGTTGTTCCTCTTTGCTTGTTGTCTTTCTTTTGGTTTTGGGGTTGGTTCATGTATGTTTTACTCTTTTTTCTGTACTCTTGTGAGGAATATTGTTGTTCTGTTTTCTTTTCATCTGTGTTTAGTACTTTCTTAAGTGTTTCTTGTAGAGGTGATCTGGTGGCAGCATAAGTTCTTAGGGATTGGATATCTGGGAAAGATTTTAATTCTCCCTTGCTGATGAAGTGCAGCTTGACTGGGTAGGTTATTCTTGGTTGAAATTGTTTATCTTTTAGAACTCTGAAGATAGGGCTCCAAGCTCTCCTAGCCTGCAGGGTTTCTGTAGATAAATTTGCTGCTATTCTAATTGGTCTTCCATGATAGGTGATCTTGCCTTTTTCTCTTGCTGCCTTTAGGATTTTTTCTTTTATACCTACTTTGTTTAGGTGAATTATTGTGTGTCTTGGAGTTGGTATTCTCATTTGTTGCCTTGCAGGTGTTCTCTGAATCTCTTGTGTTTTAATTTTTGCATCACTGATGAGATGAGGGAAGTTTTCTTCAATAATCTCATGGAATGTTTGTTCCAAGGTAGCCTCTGTTTCTCTTTCTGTTTCAGGAAGTCCAATTACTCTTAAATTTGGTCTCTTGAAGTAATTGTTTATCTCTTGAAGGTTTTGCTCTGTCTTTTAAAGTTTCTTTTCTATGGTTTTGACAGTTTGGATTAGGTCTATATTTTGGTCCTCAAGCTCTGAGATTCTTTCTTCTGCTTGGCTAATTCTGCTTTCCATGCTTATCAGTTTATTATTTATTTCATTCACAGTATTCTTTATTAGTGTAATCTCAGTTATCAACTCCTTTCTTGTCTCTCCTCAATTCTTTTTAATCTCCCCATTAATGTCTTGATATCTAGGTCTGTAGTTTGAGGCCAGTCATTCTGGGGGCTCTTCATTGATTGCATTCCGAAGTCAGTTTTCTCAGTGCCTGTCCCCCAGGGGTCTGGGAGAGACCCATGTTCTTCTTTTGGTTTTTCTTCATTTGTGTAGATTTTTTCTCTCTCCCCCTTTCCTTCCCCTTCTTTAATTCTGTTTTTCAGGGAAGATGGGGTTGCTTTTACTTCTTTTGTTCAATCTCCTGTTCTTCCCTATGAGAGTCCTCTGGCTTTGCTCACTTTTTTGAGGCTGGGGGCTGTACTTTTTGCAGTTTTGAGGTTTAATTGAGGGGGAAACTGTGATTCAGAATCTATCTGCTGATCCCAGTATCCACCATCAGTTGTATGGGCACACTGGAACCTATTTCCCACTGCCTTATAATCTGTCCATGCAGCAGCGTGTAGGTTTGCTCCCTGGAACAAAAGGAGATATGAAGAAAGGAAAATAATGGAAGAAGGGGGGGTCAAGAGGAAGTTAGAAAGAGAGAAGAGTGAGAGGGAAAACAGACATACATACCAATGGGTGAAAAAGAGACACAAGGCCAGAAAAGAGTGAAAAACACACACAAAATTCCCTAAAGCACACCGGTAATCACACAAAGACTGTCCAATAAAATCATGCCTTTTGATGCATTTTTCCCCAACACAAACAGGTAGTCTAAACCAAAAAGCAAACAAAAGTGAGCAAAGCAAACAATCAAAACAATAAAATCAAAAGTCAATATAAGAAACCAGACTAGCTCTGAAATCTTTCCTGAATGTCTAAAGTCTCTTCAGCTCTGATCTCTAGCCTCTCCCCTTTGCTTTCATTGCAGGCAGATAGTCTTACTCCCAGTTTTGTTCCCTTGGCTTGCTACCTGAGAATTCTGCAGCTGAGTTGTCTGTATCTGATTCAGCAAAGGAGAGGGTCTTTCATCTCCTGTTTAGCGATGTTACCTTAGAAACCAAGGTGGAGGCTGCTCATAAGTGGGTGGGGCAATGCAAATCTCTGCCTGGAAAATGGCTGAAGTGGGTAGCTCCTCTTTTGAAGATCCTTTGTCTCCACCCATCCTTTTTCTCCACTCATCTGGGTCTGTGGACAATCTACTATGATGGGCTGTGGTGGCATGTCAGGCACCGGGGATCAGTGGGACAGCTGGGTGCTGGATCAGGTGTGCCACCAGCAGCCTGGGGTAGAGGAGGGAGCTGGGAATTCCCCCTTCTGGAGCTGAGAGCTGACAGTGGCTGGTCAGCACCTCCTTAAGATATACTGTTCCCTTACACAACCATGGGGTCTCATGCTGGGTGCATCAGCCAGAGTGAGAGTGGGACCAAAGCTCCAAAGGGCAGGTGGTGAGTGGTGATAGTGGCTTTGGGCCCCACACAGGGCACTTAAGCCAGGAGTGGAGCTGGTATCTCTGAGGGGCAGCGCCTAGAGCCTTCCTGGTTGACTGTGGCTTGAAATAGGGCTGGGTGGGGGCCCAGAACCCAGGGTGGAGAGCTGGAACTCTGAGCAGTGAACACCAGGCCGCTGGGCTGGGAGCCCAGTCAGGGAGGGAGCTGGCAGTGACTGGGTGCCAGGCAGATTAAGAAAAATAAAAAATGATTATTAGGAAAAAGTATAAAGTATAAAATAGACAAAATGTTTTCTCATAAATTCCCTTACTTGAATCTTACAGTTACCCTATGCAGTTGACAATATTCACATCTTATATATGAAAAGCAATGTGTTTACATCAAAGGCAAGGATGACTATGTTGTGGGGCCAGGTCAGGGCTTAGATTGTTGATTCTTCAACTAGTCATTGTCCATTACTAGACAGGCCACCGACATGGTGAATTTCTGTCAAAACTGGAGAAAGAACTTGTCATCTTGCTATTTTTGTGTACCATGGTCTAACTCAGTTCCTGGTTTGAATACTTAATAAATATCTGGTGGATATCTTGTGCATAAATAAATAAAGGTATTGTAGCTCTCAATCTGGTAAAGAATGAAGAAGTATTCTCATCAGTGAGGCATAGTAATAGATCATATAGAAGAGAACCTTCTGGAAGGATTAAAAATGTGTGAAGGAGTGGACTATTTTCTGCCATACTCAAACAGTGAAGTTTTGCTAGAAATGGAAATGTGTACCTACCACACACACATTGTGCAGATTCATGTCTCTACAAATCCAAACTTTCAATGTTCATCTGGTTTTTAGTGACATTATTGATATTAGGAACTCAGAACTAGAGCTTTCTGGGATACTGAATTTCTCCTCATGCTCACACTTGTTTTCTAGCCTTTCCCAAATTAGTAAATGGTACCAACACTGACTAAGTTCTTTTAGATAAAAATCTTCGAGTTATCTGTGATGCCACTCTTGTCTTTTTCTGTCCTTCCCATATCTAAACAAGACCTGTTAGTACTACTTCCAAAGCATATCCTTATCCCCATCCACTGTTCTCAGTCTTCTTTATCACTCTTCTAGCCCAGTTCACTCATGAATTGCCTAAACTCCTGAAATCACCTTATAATTGGTCTTCTTACTTCTGTCATACACCCCTTGCTATATATTTTTCATGGATTGGAAAGATGAATATTACATATATATAATGTTAATAATATAAATATATAAAATATAAAAATGCAAGAATTTATATATTAAATATATAAATAGAATAATATATAATATATATGTCCTGTGCTGTCACTCCTCTGTTTCAAATTATGTGCCATTGAATTTAGAAAAATCATCTATTTCTCTCCTCTGATAGACAATATTTCATCCACTCCTATGTATCTGAACTCGTCTTGTAATATTCTCATCCTAATCTCTCATGATCCAGCTCTGCTTTTCTATCAAGCATAACTCTTTCAGTTTTATGATCTTTGTTCTGGTTGTTCCCTCTGCCTGTAGTGACATTCTCCTAGAGCTCCAGTAGCTGGCTGCTTCTCATTATCAGAGCTAAAAATAAATAACTTCTTCTCAGAGAAGGCTTTGCTAACCAGGCAGTCTAAAATGAAATATCCCTGTTGCTCAATATCACTTTGCTTTTTGTTAGTGCTCTGAAGCTTTTCTTGTTTGTGTATTTGATTGATTGGTTGGCTATTTATTATATTTATATGTCTACCTCACTCTTTCTTCCTGTTGAAATGCTCAAATGGAACAAAGAACTCTTTATCACCTTAGAAAAGCTACTTAATCTCTGTGTGTTTTAGTTTCTATTTTATAAAATAGAAAAGTAATATTGCATTCCTTATATAGTTATTGAATTGGTGAAATTAGGTAATACTTATAAGTTGCTCACAACTTCTTTGACATATAATAGATACAGCATAATGATTGTTAAGAAAACAAACAGATAAGTTACACTGGAGGTAAGTGCAGTGGGGTGTAGCTATTGTCCCAGCTACTCAGGAGGATTGCTTGAGCGCAGTAGTTTAAGATCAGCTTAGGTAATGTAGCAAAACCTCTTCTTAAAAAATTAATAAAGAAAAAAAGAAGTTACACTGTAGCAGAAAGAAAAGTATGAAATGAGATGGTGGTTATGGGGAAAAGAGCTGTAACAGCTATACCAGAAAAAGAAAGCAGCATGAATCCTCAAAGTTAAGAAAAGACCAAGTCATTTATTAACACCATTCTGCTTTTACTACTTGTTTGTAACAGTAGCAACCAGATCATCAGCTGGCAAGACAGGGACAACTGGATCATCAATCGAACATTTAGGGACAACTGGACCATCTCTTGTTGAATTAGAGACAGCTGGATACTCAACTAGAGTGAAGGTGACATCTGGACAATCAACTGAAGTGACTAGGGTAACTGAACCATCAGCGGGAGGGACAAAAACAACTGGACCCTCAGCTGGAGAAACAGTAACAACTGGACTATTTACTTTAGGATCAGGGACTACTAGCTCATCAGTGGAAGGATTAGGAACAACCAGACCACTTGTAGACTTAGAGACAACCAGACCTTCAGCTGGAGTGTCAATGACATCTGGACAATCAGCTGGAGTGACTGGAACATCTACACAATCAGCTGGAGTGACAATGGCACCTGTCCATTCACTTGGAACAGCAGTAGCAACAGATCCATTTGTTGAAGGATCAGCTACAACTGGGCAACCTATTTTAGGATCAGAAACATCTGAACCAGTAGCTGGAGGTGCGGGGTCAACTGGATCATCAGTAGAACAATTAGGGACAACTGGACCACCTCTTGTAGAATCAGGGGCAACTAGATCATCAGCTGGAGTGACAGCGACATTGGAACAATCAGTTAGAAAGACTGGGACAACAGGATCATCAGCTAGAGTGACAGGAACACTTCAACCATCTGTTGTAGAATCAGGAACAACTAGACCATTTATTATAGAAGCAGGGACAACTGGAACTGCATTTGGAGGATCAGAATCAACAAGACCATCAGTTGGAGAAACAAGGACAACTGGGCAATCAGCTGCAAGAGAAACATCAAGTCCATTTACTGGATCAACAGGGACATCTGGAAAATCAGCTGGAGTGACTAGGACACCTGTACAATCAGCTGGAGTGGCAATAACATCTGTTCAATCACCTGGAGTAGCAGTGACAACAGATTCATTTGTGCAAGGATCAGCTACAGCTGAACTACCTGTTTTAGGATCCAGAACAACTAGACCAGTGGCTGGAGGTACAGGGACATCTGGACAGTCCACTGGAGTGACTGGGACAACTGGACCCTCAGCTGTGCCATCAACTGAAGGATCAGGGACAGCTGGACCATCCATTGTAGGATCAGAAACAACTAGACTATCAGTTACAGGATCAAAGACAACTGGAATTGCATCTGGAGGATCAAGTACAACAAAATCATCAGTTGGAGAAGCAGGGACAACTGGACAATCAGTTGAAAAAGTAGGGACAGCTGGATCACCTCTTGTAGAATCAGACACAACTGGACCCTCAGCTGGAATGACTGTGACATCTGGGCAATCAGTTAGAGTGACTGGGGAAACCGGATCATCAACTAGAGAGACAGCGACATCTGCACAATCTGCCAGAGTGACAGGTGCAACCAAATTATCAGCCGGAGTGACAGGAAAAAGTGGATCACCAACTGAAGTATCAGGCACAACAGGATCATCTGTCATTAGATCAGAATCAACTAGTTCAGCATCTACAGGATCAGAGGCAACTGGAACTGCATCTGGAGGATCAGGTATAACAAGATCATCTGTGGGAGGAACAGAGACAACTAGACAATCAGCTGCAAGATCTGAAACAACAGCTCCATTTGTTGGATTGACAGGGACATCTGAACAATTAGCTGGAGTGACTGGGACATCTCCACAATCAGCTGAAGTGACAATGACATCTGTTCAATCAGCTGGAGCAGCAGTAACAACAGGTTTATTTGTGGAGGGATCAGCTATAACTGAACAATCTGTTTTAGGATCAGGAACAACTAGACCAGTGACTAGAGTTACAGGAACACCTGGACAATCAGCTGGAGTGACTGAGACAACTCAATCATCAGCTGTACCATCCACTGAAAGATCAGGCACAACTGGACCATCTGTCATTGGATCAGAAACAACTAGTCCATCAGTTGTGGGATCAGGGACAACTGGAATTGCCTCTGGAGGATTAGGTACAACAAAATCACCAGTTGGAGAAACAGGGACAATTGGACAATTAGTTGAACAAGTAGGGATAACTGAATCACCTCTTGTAGAATCAGACACAACTGGACCCTCAGCTAGAATGACTATGATATCTGAGCAATCAGTGAAAGTGACTGGGGAAACTGGATCATCAGCTAGAATGACAGTGACATCTACACAATTGGCCAGAGTGACAGGAACAAACAGACCATCAGCCAGAGTGACAGGAACAAGTAGACTATCAACTGAAGGATCAGGTACAACTGGATCATCTGTCATTGGATCAGAATCAACTAGATCAGCATTTACAGAATCAGGGACAACTAGAACTGCATCTGAAGGATCAGGTACAACAAGATTATCAGTTGGAGAAACAGAGACAACTGAACAATCAATTGCAGAATCAGAAACAACAGGTCTATTTGCTGGAGTGACAGGGTCATCTGGACAATCAGCTACAGTGACTGGGACATCTCCACAATCAGCTAGAGTGACAACAGCATCTGATCAATCAGCTGGAGTAGCAGTAACAACAGGTCCACCTGTGGAAGGATCAGCTACAACTGGGCAGTCTGTTTCAGGATCAGGAACAACTGGACCAGTGGCTAGAGTTACAGGAACATCTGAACAATCAACTGGAATGACTGAGACAGTTCAACCATCAGTTGTACCATCAACTGAAAGATTAGGGACAACTGGACCATCTATCATTGCATCAGAAACAACTAGACCATCAATTACAGGATTAGGGACAACTGGAATTGCACCTGGAGGATCAGGTACAACAAAATCACCAGTTGGAGAAACAGGGACAATTGGACAATTAGTTGAACAAGTAGGGATAACTGAATCACCTCTTGTAGAATCAGACACAACTGGACCCTCAGCTAGAATGACTATGATATCTGAGCAATCAGTGAAAGTGACTGGGGAAACTGGATCATCAGCTAGAATGACAGTGACATCTACACAATTGGCCAGAGTGACAGGAACAAACAGACCATCAGCCAGAGTGACAGGAACAAGTAGACTATCAACTGAAGGATCAGGTACAACTGGATCATCTGTCATTGGATCAGAATCAACTAGATCAGCATTTACAGAATCAGGGACAACTAGAACTGCATCTGAAGGATCAGGTACAACAAGATTATCAGTTGGAGAAACAGAGACAACTGAACAATCAATTGCAGAATCAGAAACAACAGGTCCATTTGCTGAACTGACAGGGACATCTGGACAATCAGCTGGAGTGACTGGAACATCTGCACATTCAGTTGGAGTGACAATGACATCTGTTCAACTACCTGGCGTAGCAGCGACAACAGGTTCATTCGTGGAGGGATCAAATACAACTGGACAATTTAGTTTAGAATCAGGAACAACAGGACCTTTGACTGAAGTTACAGGGACATCTGGACAATTAGCTGGAGTGACTGAGATAACTCGATCATCAGCTTTACCATCAACTGAAGGATCAAAGATAACTGGACCATCTGTCACTGGATCAGAAGCAACTAGACCATCAGTTACAGGATCAGGGACAACTGGAATTGTATCTGGAGGATCAGGTTCAACAAGATCATCAGTTGGAAAGACAGGGACAACTGGACAATCAGTTGAACAAGTAGGGACAACTGGACCACCTCTTGTAGAATCAGACACAACTAGACCCTCAGCTGGAATGACTGTGACATCTGGGCAATCAGTTAAGGTGACTGGGGAAACCAGATCATCATCTACACAATCTGCCAGAGTGACAGGTGCAACTGGATCATCAGCTGGAGTGACAGGAAAAAGTGGATCACCAACTGAGGTATCAGGGATAACAGAATCATCTGTCATTGGCTCAGAATCAACTAGACCATCATCCACAGGATCAGGGATAACTGGAACTGCATCTGGAGAATCAGGTACAGCAAGATCATCAGTTGGAGGAACACAGACAACTGGACAATCAGCTGCAAGATCTGAAACAACAGCTCCATTCGCTGGATTGACAGGGACGTATGGACAGTCAGCTGGAGTGACTGGGACATCTCTACAATCAGCTGGAGTGACAATGACATCAGTTCAGTCAGCTGGAGTAGCTTTAACAACAGGTCCATTTGTTGAAGGATTAACCACAACTAGGAAATCTGTTATTGGATCAGGAACAACTGGACCATTGGCTGAAGTTAGAGGGACAACTGGACCATCTGTTGAACAAATAGGGACAACTGGACCAACTCTTATAGAATTAGAGACAACTGGATCATCAACTGGAGTTACAGTGACATCTGGACAATCAGCCAGTGTGACTGGGACAACACGACAAGCAGATATACCATTGACTGAAGGATCAGGGAGAACTGGGGCATCTGTCATTGAGTCAGAAACAACTAGACCATCAAGGGCAACTGGAGTTTCATCTGAAGGATCGGGTACAACAAGATCACCAGTCAGAGAAACAGGAACAACTGGACAATCAGTTTCAAGATCAGAAACAACAAAACTATTTGCTGGATTAACAGGGACATCTGGACAATCAGCTGGGATTACTGGGACATCTGCACAATCTACAGGAGTGAAAATGACATCTGAAAAATCAGCTGGAGTAACAGTAACAAGAAGTCCATTTGTTGAAGGATCAGCAACAACTGAGAAATATATTAAAGAATCAGGAACAACTGGAGCATCAGCTGGAGTGACAGAGACAACTGGATCATTTGTTGTAGGATTAGGTACAACTGGAACATTAGCTGAAGAAACACAAACAACTGGATCATCAACTAAAGGATCATTAACAATGGGACGATCAGAGGGAATGACAGGAACCACTATACCATTATATAAAGTATCAGGAACAACTGAACCATCAATTGGAGGAACAGGTGCAACTGAACCACCACTTGTAAGACCCAAGACAACTGGACCATCAGCTGAAGTTACAGAGATAACTAGACAATCAGCTGGAGTGAGGAGGACAACTGGACCATCAATTAAAGAATCATTAACAACTGAACAATCAACTAAAGTTACAGGAACAACTGGACAATCATTTGAAGGATCAGGTACAACTGGATCATCTCTTGTAAAATCAGAGACAACTGGACCATTAGTTGGAGTGACAGTGACATCTGGACTATCAACTAGAGTGACAGGGGCAACTGATCCATCAACCAGAGTGACAGAAACAACTGGAGCATTTGTGTTAGAATCAGAAACAACTGGACCATCAGTTGAAAGATTTGGGACAACTGGATCTTCAGATGTAGTGACAGAATCAGTTAGAGTGACTGGGGAAACTGGACCATCAGCTGGAGTAACAGGAACTACTGGAACATATCTTATAAGATCAGGGACAACTGGACCATCTGTTATAGAGTCAGGGACAGCGAAAACTTCATCTGCAGGATTAGGTACAACTACATCATCAGTAGGAGGAACAGGGACAACTGGACAATCAACTGCAAGATCACAGACAACAGGACAATTTGCTGGGTGGACAGAAACATCTGCACAATCAGCTGGACTGACAATGACATCTGTTCAATCAGCTGGAGTAGCAGTAACAACAGAACAATTTGTTGAAGGATCAGTGACAACTGAAAATTTTGCTATAGGATCACAAACAACTAGACCATCAGTTGGAATGACAGGGACAACTGAACTGTCAACTAAAGGATCAGGCACAACTGGACCATCTGTCATTGGATCAGAAACAACTAGACCATCAGCTACTGGACCAGAGACAACTGGAATTGCATCTGGAGAATCAGGAACTACAAGATCTTCAGTTAGAGAAACAGGGGCAACTGGACAATCAACTGCAGGATCAAACACAACAGGACCATTTGCTGGATTGACAGGGACATTGACACAATCAACTGGACTTACAATGACATCTGTTCAATCAGCTAGAGCAGCAGTAACAACAGGACCATTTATTGAAGCATCAGCGACAACCAGAAAATTTGTTATAGGATCAAGAACAACTGGACCTTCAGCTGGAGTGACAGAGACAACCGGGCCATCCATTGAAAGAGAAAGAACAACTGGACTACCTCTTGTAGAATCAGAGACAACTGAAACCTCAGCTAGAGTGACAATGACATCATCTAGACTATCAGTAAAAGTGACTGAGGCAACTGGACTATCAGCTGGAATGACAGGAACACCTGGACCATCACTTGAAGGATTAGAGACAACTGGACCATCTGTTATTGGATCAGAAACAACTATACCATCTGCTACAAGATCAGGTACAATTAGACCATCAGATAGTAGAACAGAGACAACTAGACAATCAACTGCAGGATCAGTGACAACAGGGCCATTTGCTGGATTGACTGGGCCCTCCAGTCCATCAGTTGGAGTTGCAGTGACGTCTGAACAATCACCTGAAGTGACTCAGCCAACTGGATCATCCGCTGCAGTATCAGGGACAACTAGACAATCTGCTATAGTAACAGGTATAACTGGTCCATCTTCTGCAAGATCAGGTACAAGTAGGTCATCAGCTGGAGAAAGAGGAACAACTGGATCATCAGTTGAAGAATCAGGGACTCCTGGACCAGTAGCCAGAGTGACAGGGACAGATGGATTATCAGCTGGAATGACAAAGATAATTGGGCCAACATCTGGAAGACCAGGGACAACTGGACCATCAGCTGGCACAACCACCGGGACAGGAAGAACTTCGGGAGAACCAGGAAGTGAAGCTACAGCACCTGAAGGCAAGTCAAGTTAGTTAAAGATAGATAATTTAATGTAGACAATTTAATGTTTGGTCAGACTCCTAGACTTGAATCTCTATACATTTATCATAATTAATATGCTATTAAGAACTCGAATGGGTGAACAATGACTGGAGCTTTCAAGAACATTATTGTATTAAGTTGATTTCTCTGGGAGGCTGAGGTGAGTGGATTGACTGAGCCCGCGGGTTCGAGACCCGCCTGGGCAGCAAGACCTCATCTCTATAATAAATCAAAAAATCAGCCGGGCGTGGTAGCGCATGCCTGTAGTTCCGGCTACTTGGAAGGCTGAGGCGGAAGGATCGCCGGAGCCCAGCAGGTCGAGGCTGCGGTGGCCAGGAGCGGCCACTGCACTCCAGTCTGGGCGACAAAGTGAGACTCCAATTAAAAAAAAAAAAAAATTGATTTCTCAGCCTTTTTGAGAAGTTTATGTTTTCATTAAGGGCCAGAGGATCAGTGGGGGCAGGCAGGGGATGTACAGCTACAGCACCAGAATCTGGGGCCACCAGTGCTGGGAACCAAGCAAGCATGGCTCACCTGGCTGCTCTGCTGTGGTTCATCAGACGTGTGGCTGAGACCCCAACTATTATGGTAATATTAAGTTATTTAACCAAGGACCTAAATGTGGGAGAAATGATTAAGAGATTTTTTAGATTTATAAACACCTAAATTTTAAATGTATATGAAGGACAGTTAGTTCATTATTTTTACTAAAGTGAACTGTGTAAAGCTGATAATTATTACTTTAACCAGGCTCAACTGAAGAACCTCATGAAGCCACCCCTGGAGCAGGCGAAAGCACAACCAGATTAACCACACCTGAAAAATCAGGTGAGTGGAAAGGGAAGAATTTGGCCCAGATTGTAGCTCAACATAAGGGTTTCTGATAAATCTAATCATGGCAATGAATGTATTTTAAGTAAGGAAATCAGAAAATCAGATTCAAATCTAATCCTTAGAACCTTATATTTTGTTAGGTGTTTTATGAATAGAATGAAAGGATAGCAAATTGCTTTCACAGTGCTGATTCTATCAGGAGATAAATATCAAATGAAGAAGCTTAAAACAAAGAAAAGGTTAGGGTTGGGGTTAGGGCATTTATTGGACAGCTAGACATTGTTCTAAGTTATGCAACATGTCATTGATTCTCACAGCAACTGATAAGCGCTACTTTTGTCTACATTTCCAAATGAGGAAATCAAGAAATTTTGTTAGCAGATGCCAGGTGAGGACTTGAACCAGGGAACTGCGGCCCCAGAGCCTATTTCTTATGCACGACACTGTCTTCTCCTCTAAGGCAATGGATGTAAACTAGAGCAGAATGGAAATTTATTCCCTGGAAGGGAAATCCCGATGGAGCCTCAAATACACCAAATTCAACCTCTCAAAGAAAATAAGATGAACATAAAGGTTATCATATTAGAGATATATTTGAGGACAAAGTTTGACATTTTCTATAATAACAGCAGTATTCCAAATTTTACCATTTAATTAAATTTTGTTTACTTGATTATTTTTATTATTTGCCATTTGTGTGCCAGGAACTGTGATGGGTGTGTGGGTACAAAGGTGTACAAGTCTGACAAAGTCCCTGTTCTCAGGACATTCTGTCTAGTGGGGGATTTCACCAATAAGAATCAAAAGCACCTCAATAACCTAATTACAGTGCTATTAAATGCTAAGAATATGGTTAGAGTATTAGAGAAGTGACATTCTACTAGTGTCCCAAAGAAGGATGAGGCACTAGTCAGAAAAAGAGGGCAAGGCAGAGTGGGAAATGACAGGAGAGCTCCAGGGGGGAAGTCACAAATCTTGGAGAGTTTAAGATACAAGGAGGCTAGAGTGCCCAGTGCCCAGTGGTGCCCAGTCAGGAAGCTAGAGAGGAGTAATAGAAACAACCCTGGAGAAATAGGAAGGACCAAAAGCCAAAGGAGGCTGTCAAGAGTTGTGAGATAGAAGAGTGACACGATCAGGTTCACGGTTTTGAAAGATCGCTTAAACTGCAACGTGAAGAAGGGTTGTACGAAGTGTGGACACAAAAAATTTGGAATTTATTTACAAAAAATAGTGTATTTGTTCTTCCATGTTTAAACTTCAAAGTACTCTCTGTTTGATGCAATACATTTATCAAAATGCCTTTACCACTGCTCAAAACAGTTTTTGAACTCATCAATTTTCATGCCTTCTAGTGCTTCTGGCATTTTTTCTTTCACCTCTTCCACATGGGTGAAATGTTTTCTTTTGAGGACTTTTGTTAATCCAGAGAAACAAAAAAAGTTGCTCATCTAGATCTGGTGAAAAGGGAAGATGGAACATGAGGGTCATGCCATTTGGGGTCAAAAATTGCTGAACACTCCCTGCATGGTAGGCAGGTGAAATGAAATTGGCAAATGCGTTGAAAGCATCTCCAAAATAATAATAATAATTTACTTCAGCCAAACACAGCCTCTCACAATAATGCTAACTGGTACGCTGAGGCTGATGTGTTCCTAGAATACTTACCTAGTGGGGAAAGCCTGTACTACAATAAGCCTGCACTCCAAAAGATAATTCTGTTTATTTTGCCTCCTCCCTTCATTGTATAAGGTAAGAATGGAAGCAGAGATTTGTTAGGAGGCTATTGCTGAGTCAAGGTAAGAGGCAGTGGTCTAGAATAAACTGTGATGGCAGCTGAAAAGAAATGGAAATGTTCAAAACACATTTTTTGGGAACCATCAAGAGGATTTGGCAATGGTTTGGATGGGGATTGGTTTAGGGTCATTTTCACGCTGGCATGTTTGGTGTTAAGATTGATAGTCTTCTCATTTATTGATATAGGGAAAGTTAATGAGCAGCAGTTTGTGGTAGGAAGATCACAGGTTCAGGTATGAATAGGTTGAATTTGAGATATCAGAGAAGTCCATGTGAAAATTATCCGTTATGCTATAAGATTATTTTTTCATTTGTTTTAAATTCAGCTACAGCTGGAGTGCCTTCTGCAACTTCTGCAGGAGGTAGAGGTAAAAGCAGAGTGTTCACATCAGGTACTGGATCCGCAACAACTGGACTCAAAATAGTTATGCTGATCCACATGGGGATGGCATTCCAATAAAATAAGAACACTGTAGTGACTTTCCACTTTTTAATCTCAGGTTCCACAGGAGCCAACCCTGGCCCAACAATCGCCCCAGGGGGCATCACTACTGGTAAGTAAGCAAGGGGATGTCGGATGTATTTTTGACGTGTTTTCATGCTCCTTGGCTAATTAAAAACTGTATCATACTCAGTGATCTATCACAGAAAAAAAGAACAGAGTATCATATGTTCTCACTCATAAGTGGGCCTTGAACAATTAGTGTAATACTATAAGAAAGAGGTTGGCAATAGTGGGAAACTGCCAGAGGAGAGGAAGTGGGATTGGCAGTTGAGGGAAACTGCCAGGGAAGGAAGGAGCACACCTCATTAAGAAGGGTATCTGCATAATGAACATTTGTATACCTAACCCCGAATTGAACCCCACATCTTAAAAAAAAACTATAAAACAATGCCAGTGGAACAATTGCAATGTCCTTAAATACATTATCTCATTTAATTTTTTGAATAAATATTATTATCTTATTTTACACATGAGAAGCTTAGACAAAGGCATTGCCAGATTTGGTCTAGGTTCTGCAGCAAGTAAAATGGTGGAAACAATATTTTTATTTTATCCATTTTTTACTGATACCCAAGACTGTGCTCTTTAGTGTGAAGCCTTCCTCCCCTACAGCAAAATATATGATTATCTTTAAACATTATATTTAATAGCCCACCAGTAGAACTTGCTTTAAAATAACAAAGCTTAAACATTTCTCATTTCTAACTACAAAAACTGCAGTAGAGGATAATAAAAAGAAGCTTAATTTTAAAAATATAGTGGTAAATGTGGAATTTGCTTTTTTTAAACAAGATTTGCAGCATTGTGTTCAACAAAACTATAATACCATTGTTTTATAATTCAAAATTTTATGAATTTCTTTCTTTTTACAATTATTTCATCCTGACATAAAATTCACAAAAACTTATAGGACAATTTATTTTTCCTAACACAAAATAAATGGGCTAAATTATTTTTTCAAGGCTATAGTGTGTTATTATTTAAGCTTCTGGACTAGTAACATGCTCAGTATCGTAGTACTTGAGGAAGACAATTTCTCACTTTGCAGAGTATCTAACAGAATCTAGGCTTTAGTGACTAAATTGTTCAGTATTGTTTTAAGGAATAGATTGCTCACAATTTCTTTTCTGGTAAAGATTTATGCTACATTTATTCTAACTACTGTTATAAAGTCCCTTTATGTACATTTATTTTGCGGTCACTAAAAAAAATTAATTTAGTAATTTAAGGAAACTAAATTTGTCATTATTCTTTATTCAATCGATGATTATGCAAATATAAATGAGTTAGCAATAATTTATATTATATATTGAATGCTATAACTATATTATAAATTAACAACATGGCTACAAGTAGGAACTACCAGAGCACAATGTGTATGACTGTTGGGGTCTAGTATGTTATAATTTACTAGACCCCAACATATGTCATTTTTGGTATTTTCTATGTTTGATGCTTAATATTTAATAAAAAGGAACCAAACTAGAATTACATGTGTGTAAATATTTACTTGGAAAAAAAGGCAATGACTTGTTTTCAGTTTATAATTTGTCATTCATAGATGATTATGTGGAAGAACATAATGGAACCCAAGAGATCTCTCATTCTGACTTAAATTTCTAGGATAAGCTTCTATGAGAATAACATAATTCTGTTTTTTTAAAACAAAAATTGCATATATTCTGGCATTTGAAGCACTGAAGAAAAAATTTTAAATAAAATTCAAATATATTATTTAATGAAAACTTTAATATTTCCTTTGTTAGGTTCAGTTATCATAATTCCACCAGAATTCTTTGTAGGTAAGTAGAAATTAAAATGACATGAAAATACATTTTTGTAACATGTGGCTTCAAATAGCATTTCTGTCTTTTCCATTTAATTACTGAAAAATATCTACGGGACTGTGACAGTCATCTTAAATTACAATTGAACACATAAATTCACCTTTATAAGTTGGAATAAATAAAAGTGTTCATTTATAAATATATTTGAGTTTTTCAACTTTAGTGCCACTGAAACTGCCTATAGTAGCAGATGAGAATGTGTGTGAGATAATAAATATGTATTTGAAAAAAAATTTATTTAAACTAGCAAAGAAAACGTAGTAGCAGAAGTCTTAATTTGCTAAATTAATAAAATGTAAATTTCAAATTAGATTTTGGTAGCATAGGGCTTTTGCTACTAGTATGCCTTCTTAAATCATCAAAAGATATATAGAATCCTTTGTGTAATAGTTAAATTTAACATTTATTTTATGCAAGTATACACACAAAAAATAACTACCCAAATAGCCCTCTTAATGAAAAGTAGTAGTACCATATTTCTCAGCATATTAATGTTATTTGTCCTTTACTATGTCCATGAAAATTATTTAGCTCTTATTGCATCCTGTTGTCTGATTTTAAAACTTAAAATCAGATTTAAAAGAGCAAAATAAGTGTATTCTTTAGAACATCTCACTTCTAAAATCCCTTCTAATTCTTTTGGTATTCATGTTAGAATGCAAGCTCCCTGAAAACAGACAGTTTTGTTTTAATACATGCTCCAGCATGTTCTTACTTTACTCCTCTTCTTTTCTTTTTCAGAAGTCACAACTTCTGCAGGGACCACTGGAGCAAGACCATCAGGAGGTGAGTGCAGTCACCCTGAGACTTTTGGGTCCTGTGTGGGACTGCAGAGAAGAAGGGACAGATAAGAAGGCTGAGGACACATTTCCTCTAGGGACACAACACACAAGGGCAAATTGCTAATACCTCTGGACTTTCCCACATGCAGGATTACTTGATGGACTTTCCCTCCATCAAGTAATCCTGAGTTCTAGTTCCGGAGTCAGTTCTCTGAAGACAGGAATGAAAGTGCTACTGCTTTGAAGTTTACAAAACTTCTTTTCACAGGTACCACTGTCATTTCTTCTGAAGCCAGTAGCAGTCCAGAAGTTGTGAACACAGGTAATGTTACATAAGTAAAACTCAAGCTAATGCTTATTCTCATATGAGTGTTTTGTGCATTGTGTATGTATGTTCACGTGTATGTGCACGTGTATGTGCATGTGTATGCTTTAAGGATGTCATGAAAAATAACCACAAAGTATCACAGGGATATTTAGGAAGAACTTTATCTTCCATTTTCCTCCTTCTGTAGTCACTCCTGGCATACCGAAGAGACATATAACAAGAAATGAAACAGGTGGGCAGGAAATGAGCCCCCATTCCTCTGTCAGGAGGTTAGAGTGTAGGGATGTTTATTTGCAAAGTGCCTGTGAATAAATGGGCCAAAGAGATGAGAGGAGGACACTCGTGATTTGACATTTGGGACAAGTCCTCAAGAAGGGTCTTACATTGCTGTAAGGCCATTCATTAGCTGCTTCCATGATGAATTGGGACATTGCTAAATTTAGTTTTTCTTATTTTAGGTATCACTGAAGTAGGCTCTGAGACATCCATTTAAGCAGGAATTTCCAACATAGGTAGAGTTGAAAGAAAACAATCTCCATGGACACTAGAAGGAAATGATGGTGTCCTTGTAGGGTTGCTCTAATAATGTCACACAAACTACCTCTGCCCAGTTAGCCAACACCCTAGAACTTATGGTTCTCCTATTTCCTCCCTCAGAGACCTCTACTTCCCAAGAAGGTGCTGGCCCATGGGAGGTGGATTCAGAATCGGTTATATAAGGAGAAACTCATATCTTTTTTTTTGTCACCAAGAAATACGGTACTCATAAGCAAAGCCTAAATAGAGGAAGTGTCTGAAGAGCAGTTTATATTTGCTTTACTAGTACTGCATTTTTGAACAACAAATTCTTTTTCAGTTTAGACATTTTTTCTAGAATAGCTGCTAATGACAGAGTTTAGACACATATTCATAATCCCCAAAGATAGGATAGTTATTCTAGTTGTTCTGAGTAACTTTGGCTGTGAAATTACAAACATTGCAAGCTTTTGAAAGGGGTGGGGTGATGAAACTTCTTGAGAAATACACAAAAGATACAAGAACCCAGGAAACACACTTGCCCTATGTAAATGTTATCTTTTTGCAAATGAATACTAAATATTTTCAAAATGTCTAGAGTTTTCTGCACACTCATACCTTTCTCTGTGACCACACCACAGGACGTGGTACTCCAGTATCAGAGAGCCAAGACACAGGGAAAACAGGTGAGCATTGGAGAAAACCACATTGCCTCCCTGATAGAAAATACCAGGAAGGCTGGGTGCAGTGACTGACGTCTGTAATACCAACACTTTGGGAGGCCCAGGCAAAAGGATTGCTTGAACGTAGGTGTTTGAGATCTGCCTGGGTAATGTGGTGAGACCTCATCATTATTATTTTTTTTTAAAAGAAGCTGGGCATGATGGTACACTCCTCAGGAGGCTGAGGTAGAAGCATTACCTGAACACAGGAGGTAGAGGTTGTGGCGATCTGTGATTATGCCACTCCAGTCTAGCCTGGGCAACAGAATGAGGCTCTGACTCAGGGAAAAACAAACAAACAAAAAACAAGCAAACAGGAAGATGATCTCAGGTAGAGAAAGTTGTCTCTCTGATTGCTCTGGCAATAAAATGGTTAAATAGAAAATACATAGTCCTCATCATCAAGGAAGAGCCAGGGAAAGAGCTAGTTAGATATTAGTTCTTTCTAGAAGTAGGTTTTTAGGAAAAAAAGATTGAACATCATGGTGATCTCAGTTCTCTCTGGGTTTCAGTGACAACTGCAGTGGCTCCTGGCACAACTCTTACCTTTGATAACTCCAATACAGGTGAGTCTTCAGGTGGGCAGGAAAGCTTTCAGAGCTCCTCCCACAATTAGATGTCTTCTCTAAAGCTATTCTTCCCATGAGTAATATCAGATTTTTTGATAGCTCCTATCTCTCTGTTCCTGAACTCCATAGAAAAGGAGGCCCAATAACTTCCTTTGGTAAATATACTGTGGGAAGGATATTTATGAGGAATATACAGATTACCTTTTAGCATTTAAAGCCCACCTTACTGAAATTTTGGATAAATATGTAGATTTTGCCCATGTATTGCCTGTTACTCTTTGCCTACTTCATGATGATGAGGTATTAAATCAAACTACTCATCCCTTTCTTCATAGCTGCCACTGGGGTGTTCTCTGGGAAGACTCTGGATCCTGGGCATGACAATACAAGTAAGTCCCACAACACCCAGGGAATGCTACACCATGGCTGCTTATAATTCCCTAAGTTGCCACAACCTATATGTCCCTATATTGGAGACTTTATATTTGGTTTCTTTTCCCTCAGAGGCCACAAGCACCATACAAGGGATCAGAACCACCCAATCTGAAGCTCCAGGAGGTAAGCTTCATCAGTCCCAGACTTCCGAGTCTCATCATTTTCTGCTGTGGTGTGCTGTGGGGAACACTTGCATAAGGATGAGCGCTAAGCAAGAAGGGTTACCCTTGTCTGGAAGCATAATGTGTATCAGACCATCTATTCTGCTAAGGAATTTCACAAGTTGGGTTATCTAAGTCAGACAGTGCTCCCCTTCCTATTGTATAGTATTAGTTCTCTGGACACTTGGCAGAGGCCCACTGATCTACGGCAGCCTTCCCAGGACCCTCGATCCTCTTTTCTCTGCTCATCATGATTATCCAAAGTACTATCCTGGCAAGCATGTATTTAACATATATTTATTATACTTCTTTTTTGTCTTCTGTGTTACCTCTCCCACAAATGCAAATCTCACAAGGCAAGATCTTTGTCTGTTCTTCTCACTGGCAGAAGAATGCCAGGAACAGAGGAAATACTTACAAAATATGAGATGAAAATCAGGTATATTCTTATTTTGAGTGTCACTCTGCTGACTTCAACAGCTACCAGCATGGTTTCCCTTGGTGTCGGTAGCAGCTCACAGGATCCCAAGCCAGGCAGGATGGGCTACATATAATCAACAGGGGAATTTATGAACATTTCATATGAATGCATTCTTAGACACAATATCATCAGTTACATAAATGAGAACATTCAGGATGTTCAAGAGTTTTTCTTTCTCCAGGAAACTACATCATTGTAGGTGAAATTCATAACATGAACTTGAACTTCCTTTTTTTGGAATATACTACAACTGAAAAAAAACTGTTGATAGAAAACTATTAGTCAATAAGTTGGAAAAAAAATCATCCATGGTTCATTTCCTTCTGAAACCAAACTTCTCAGGAAAGGTTTTCCAGTGTTTCAGAACCTCATTGCTGCATTCGGTATTGTTTACCCTACTAGCTCCTTTACTTTCACCTTTTAGGTAGTTCTGGTGAATTCTCTGGGACAACCATTACATCTGGAGGTTCCAAGACAGGTATTTGAACAAGAAGGAAATCCTCATCTTGAATGCATAATAACTTTATCAAGTTACAACAATAAAATAGCACCTCAATGGTTTTTGTGTTTTTGGTTTTTTGTTTTACCAGTATCTCAAATTCCTCAGACCTCATGATTCTCCTTTTTCTTTTGTTAGAGGCCACAGCTATCACAGAAGGGAGGGGTAGTACTGGACCTGAATCCAGAACAGGTGAGGAAGAGCAACATGTGATTTGGGTTTGTCATAAAACCCAACTCTCATTAAGATGACTTGTTTGGGAGAGGGCTTTCCTGCAGAATAGGATGCACTTCTTCTTGGGAGAGTGTACAAGGCAAAATATATTTCCTTTAGATTTGATTTCTTCCTAAGTATCTACCAATAGTGTCTTTTGAAACAGTATAGCTGTTGTAATTGCTCTGAGAAATTTATCCTGTAATGTTACATACAAATACTGCCAGAGCATTAATAGGTGCTAAAAACATTTTTTGTAGCTAGAAAGTATGGATAATGTTAGTGAACCTTGGAAACAAGCCTACATAGGGATTCTCATGCCTCTAATGTAATACAATTTATTTATATTTTTTGATGTCTAAAAATCCCAGCAAACTTAATTTTTTGCTTTTTTTCCTGTCAGTAGAGTAGGCAGGTATGGGCAGAAACCACCAGTTTCCCTTTAAAAAAAAATTAAAAAATATTGCCTCAAGTCCGAGAAACTGGTTTCTCCTATTGCTTTGGTAATTAATGGATAATGACAAAATACACTGTGCACATCTGCTGGGAAGAGCCAGCGAAAGAGTTTGATAAATGATAGGCTTAGATTCTTTCTGGAGGTAGGGTTCTAAGAAAGAAACCTGAGTCCCATAATGACCATAGTCCTCTTTTTGTTTCAGCCACCAATGGGGTAACTTCTGGCACAACTATTTTGCCTGGTAATTACAATACAGGTGAGTCTATGGATTGGCAGGAAAGCCTTCAGAAATCATTTAATAATTATATGTCTCCTCTGGAGCTATTCTTCCCAGGAGTAGTATCATATTCTTGCAAGGTCCTTGAGTATTTTCCAAATATTTATTTCCTTTTCCTCTCTCTCAGAGGCCACAACTTCCCTAGGAGGAAGTGGAACCACAAGAAGTGGAATGGCCACAGGTGAGCATTGCCAGGTCATTGAATCCACTCTCTAGTAATGTCCAATAAAGATTATGGCTTCAAATGTATCCATGCCACTCATTTCTTCAATATGGAATATTATTAGGTAAAATCTTATCATTATTCCTTGACTAAGGTTCAGAAACTCAATATTTCATTCTTATTTCCTGTGCTTTGAGTAGGCTTTCCTCCCAACCTCCAAGATAACCATGCGGCCATTTGACTGATACTACATAGATGATCTAGGGAGATCTCTCTTACCTCCTTGTTCCTTTGTGCTCTAGAGAAAAGGAGATCCAGTAATTTAAAATTCCTTTGGTAAATATACTGTGGAAAGGACATTATATGAAGAATATACAGATTACCTTTTGGCATTAATAGTCTAATTTACTAAAATATTTACTACACACACATATATATATAACTTTCACTTATTTGCCTATTCTTTTTTGCTACTTCATGATGATGAGGTATTGACCCATGACTACTCATCCCTTTCTTCATAGCTACCACTGGGGTGTTCTCTGGGAAGACTTTGGAACCTGAGAATGACCACACAAGTAAGTCCTAAAATACAGAGGGAATGCTACACCATGGTAGCTTACAATTTCCTAAGGTACCACAACCTATATGTTCCTATATTTGAGACTTCATTTTTGCTTTCTTTTCCTCCAGAGGCCACAAGCACCACACAAGGGATCAGAACTACCCAATCTGAAGCTCTAGAAAGTAAGCTTTGTCAGTGCCAGTCTTCAGAGTCTCATCATTCCCTGCTGTGGTGTGCTGAGGGGAACACATGCATGAGGATGAGGGCCAAGCAAGGAGGGCTACCCTTGTCTGGAAGCACAATGTTTATGCTGACCATCCTGGGTAGTTTTGCTAAGGAATTTCACAAGCTGGATTATCTGAGTCCGACACTACTCCCCGTCCTGTTGGACAGTATTAGTTCTCTGGATTCTTGGCTGCGGCCCACTGACCTGCAGCAGCCTACGCAGGACCCCTGATTCTCTCCTCTCTGCTCATCATGATTCTCAAAGAACTGTCACAGCAGTCATGTATCTAACATACATTTATTATACTTCATGTTTGCTTTCTGTGTTGCCTTCCCGCAATGTAAATATCACGAGGCAGAAATCTTTGTCCATCCTTCTCACTGACTAAAGAATTTCTGGCACAGAGAAAATGTTTACAAAAAATGAGATGAGAGACTGGTATATTCTTATTTTGGGTGTCACTCTGCTGCCTTCAACAGCCACCACCCACAGTTTCACTTGGTGTCAACAGTAGTTCACAGGATATAAAGTCAGTTAGGATAGACTACTTAAAACACGAGACGAAGCTATAAATATCTGACGAGTGTTCTTAAACACTTGTTTATCATAATATCAGAAGTTCCACAAATGAGAACATTGGAAAATCAAAACTTTTTTCTCCTGTCAGCAATGATAGGGGGCCATATCACTGGAAGTGAAATCAATAAAGTGAAATTAAGCTTCCTTCTCCAGTTTAGTAGGGTACTGTTGAAGGAGTATTCAGTATCAATGCATTAGTTAATAAGTTAGCAAAGAAAATATTCACTATGCATTTTTTTTTTCTGAAACAGATTGTTGTCAAGAAAGGTCTTCCAATAGTTCAAGACTGCTTTCTTATTCTAGTATTGTTTGCTGTATTACTACTTTACTTTCTTATTTTAGATACTTCTGGTGAATTATCTGGAACAACCATTAAGTCTGGAAGTTCCAACACAGGTAGTTCATACTAAGGAAATCTTCATTTTTAATGCATGATAACTTTTTGTTTCATGATAACTTTTGTAGAGCTATAATGATTAAATAGCACCTCAATAATTTTACCAGTATCTCAAATTTGCCAGCCCTCCTGATTCTTCTCTTTCTTTCCTCAGAAGCCACAACTCTTACAGAAGGCAGGGGCAGTACCAGAACTCAATCCAGAACAGGTGAGGAAGAGTAGCCTGTGCTTTGGGTGTTATCATTAAACATGACTGTCATTAGGATGACTTGTTTGGAAGTGGGTTTTCCTGCAGAATATTAAGTATTTATTTAGGGATAGTGTATCAGAGGTCAATTATATATATAAATTTAACATTTTTCCTATAAATCTATAATATCATCTTTTTAAATGTTTGCATCTTCTAGATAGAGTGAAATAGGATGTAACTGTTCTGATAAATTTTCTTATAACATTGTATGCAAGCATATCAGTGGGTGCTAAAAATAGGTTTTGATCCTGAGAAGTAGAGTTAACTTAAATGAACCTTAGAAACATGTCTACATAGATATTTCCTTGCCCCAAAAGTAATAGAAAATCTTGATTAGTATTAGGTTGTTGGGTACAAGATTACAGTTAGTTAGGAGGAATTAGTTCTGGTGGTTTGTAGCATAGGAGAGTGCCTACAGTAAACAATATTATGGAGTACATTCAAAAATAACTTGAGAAGAGGATTCTGCATGTTCTCATCACAAAGCAATGATAAAGGTTTGAGGTGGTAGGTATACTAAATACCATCACTTGATCATTATACATTGCATATATATCAAAACCTCACACTGAACCTCATAAATATGTATTATTATTATGTTAGTTAAAAGCAGAATAAAATAATTAGGAAACAAATAAATTTTATCTTCCACCCCGACAGTGAAACAGGTAAGTATAGGAGAAAACCACCTGCTTCCCTGTCATGAAATACCCCGTGTGATGCCTCAAGTTTGGCCCTTTTAATTTCTTTGTGATTCACTAATTCAGAAAAAAAAGACTAAACAGTTATTATATTACCTCCTTATTTCCTGAGCTTACAGGGACCTTCACTAAACCATCATGACTCAAACTATTGACAGATAAATCAGTGATATGAAGAGAAATCTCCTATCTCCCCATAAAGAAAAGGACTTGATAGTTGAGAATTGTCCTAGTAAAACTGCAGCAGAAGGGAATATTACAAGGGATAAGTATGGAAGACTCCTAACAGTACAAGTTTCTCCTAGCACTGCAAGTCTCAGAGTAATGGCTGGCTGCTAAGTGAAGAATTGGGATTCCTATTTAAATCAAGTGGATAAGCAGTTGAACTAGTGACACCATCCCTTTCTTGTATTAGGTACTACTGGTGTGATTGCAGGAAAAACTCTGGAACCTGGAAGTTACAATACAGGTAAGCCTGAAAATACATGCAATATATGGACATTGGCATTTTGGTTGACATACTCTGACAACGGCCCAATGTGTCCTTTTCCACACCCTCATCTTTACTCTTTCTTTTCTTTTCTCTCTCAGAAGCCACAATTTCCACAGGAGGAAGTGGGACCACCCAAGCAGAACTTCCAGGAGGTGAGCTTATTTACTCTTAGGCTTTGTGACTTTTATCAAATCCCTGTTTGGGTGGCTGCAGTGACACATGAGTGTGAAGGCGGCCCTGCATTTCTTTTGGGGCACAGCATGCCAGTGTCACAAACCTAGGTCTGCCTAGAAATTCCATGGCCTCACACACCTTACCGGTCTGCATTTCCAGAAGTTCAGGTTTGCAGAGCTAGTTATTATATAGCAGGGATGATGTATATCATCAACCTGCTGTGCAGCCTCCGCCTATCAGGACCCTTATTTTTTGTCGGTGTCTCACTTTGTTGCCCAGGATGGAGTGCAGTGGCCAGTGGCATAGTCATGGCCACTGCAGTCTTGACCTGCTGTTCTCAGGCGATCCTTCCATCTCAGTCTTCCAAGTAGCTGGAACTGCAGATGCATGCCACCATGCCCAGCTAATGTTTTGATTTATTGTAGAGATCAGGTCTCGCTAAGTTGTCCAGGCTGGTCTCAAACCCCTGGACTCAGGCAATCCTCTGACCTCTACCTCCCAATGTGCTAGGATTACAGGTGTGAGTCACCACACCTGGCCAGGACCCTGATCCTTTTATACAACTTGCCTTTTCCCAGTGCACCTACTAACATTTATCACATTGACTTAGCTGCTAGAGTGTAATTTGCGTCAGGGAGAAATCTTCGAACACTTTGCTTACTGATCCATCCCAAGGGCCTAAAACAATATTTCACAGAAGAGATACTTAATAAATATTAGTTGAATAATGAAATATATTTTTCTGAAACTTTTCACTCTATTTATCTTAACAGGTACAGCCATGGTTTCACCTGGATTCCCCAGCAATTCACAGAGTTCCAAGCCAGGTCAGATGGATTAAATAAAATTATGATATGACAGTCTTGGAGTTACAGTTTTATTTTAAACATCTGTATATCAAAATACCTCAAGTAATTGATGAATAAAATAGAAAGATGAATTCTTTATCTGCTTTTTTCCTTCTTAAGGCACCTCTGTCATACCAGGGAGCCCAGTGTCTGGAAGTGAAACAGGTGAGGAGGAGATAAAGTCCCTTTGCATATTCATCAGGGTCTTTGGAAAAAGAACCACAGGAGCAACAATGATGGATAGGTGGGCCAGAAAATAAAATGGTAGCCATTCATGGTTCATTTCCTTTAGAAACAGAGATTTTTAGCAAAAGTCTGCCAGTGGCTCAAGGTCTTGTTCATGTCACCGTGCCTGGCTTACTTCCAATACTGACTAAAGAACTAATGTTGTTAATCCCTTTTTTTTTTTCTTGTTCTAGGTACCACAAGAGAATTCTCTAGGACAACCATCATACCTGGAAGTTCCCACACAGGTAGGATAATAAACAGGAAATCACTGTTTAACCGCACAGTATAGATAGTAGATCAACTCTGTTGAAATATCAACAGACTGAGTATGATGGTGCACAACTCTCATCCCGGCACTTTCAGAGGCCAAGGCAGGAGATTCACTTGAGGCCAGGAGTTTGGGACCAGCCTGGGCAACATAGTGAGACCTCATCTCTCTCTCTAAAAAAAAAAAAAAGCCAGGTGTGTTGGCACATGCCCATAGTCCCGGCTACTTGGGAGGCTGAGGCAGGACAATAGCCTGAGCCCAGGAGTTCAAGGTTGCAGTGAGCTATGATCATGCCTTCAACCTGGGTGACAGAGCAAGATCCGGTCTTTAAAATAAATAAATAAATAAATAAATAAATAAATAAAATATTCCAGATCCTGTGACCTTACCATTTATTATTTCCTCCAGCAGAGACCAAAGCTTTAACAGAAGGCAGCAACATTCCTGGAACTGGATCCAACACAGGTGAGAATGAACAGCACAGACCAGGGAGTTTAGCATGGATGACAACTCTCTGTAGTCTTGTCTGTTGGGAGGTGTGTTTTCCTGTGTGGTGGTTTGTATTTGATTTCAGTATTTTCTTACACTGAACATATTCTGAAAAAGCTCTCAATAGTAGCACTTAGCCTGACAGCTGTCCCTTTCCAAAGATGACTGGTAGTGCAGCCAGTAGGAGAGATTTCTCCTGTGATTTCATAATACCACTAAGATGTAGAGGGAGTCAAGGAATATTGTATTTCCAGGAAGAAGAGAAAACAATGTTAATCATAGAAATAATTTTATCATATATAAAGGTTTTATTACTCAGAAAAGCAATGGAAATATTAAATATTTTCTCCACTGTTGACACATTGAAATATTTTCCTGGTTTTCATCTTATGCTAGGTACCACTGCAGCACCAGGACACCAAGCAACTGGGGCTGTGGCAGGTAAACTGGGAGAAAGCCACTTTGTTTCCCTGGAATAAATGAAACTTCAGGGGGAAGGAACTTCAACTTGGGGACATTACTATTTTCCTTGCTTTGTTAATGATATGGGTCATAGGAAAGGCATATGATTTTCAACTTATCAGCAAGCAGTGAAAGAGCCCTTTTCTATAACAAAGATAGAGCCAGATTTCTTCTAGAGGCAGGTCCCCAGGAAACAAACATCAGGCATATGACCTCAGATCCCCTGTGTTTCAGCCACCACCAGAGCAGTCCCTGATACAACCATTGCTGCTGGCAATTTCAACACAGGTGAGTCAATGAGGTGGCAGAAAACCTTCCTGGAGTTCACCTACGATGAGATTTATCTTTCAGTGTTATCCTAGGTAGGGGAACTAGCGTCACTTTCCAGATCTTTGCATATTTTCCAATCATCTTCATTTTCCTGTTTCTTAGAGGCCCCAACTTCTGTAGGAGAAAGTGGAACACCAAGAGCTGAAATGATCATAGGTGAGCTCAGTAAAGGTACTAACTTTACCTTCAAGTAACAGCTCACGTCTAGCCAGAAGTATAGTCAAATTATTTGAATTTCCCAGATTTGGCACATTAAACAAAATTTTAGCAGATATTCATATTTGATATGAATTAACATAATTTAGAAACTTCAATTTTCATCCATATGTCTTATGCCTTGGATATAAGGACTCCACATAAAGGCATCATAGGCCCCATTTCCTGGCAGTTATGTAGGTGATTTGGGCCCAAATTTATTTCTCTGTAAATAAACCCTATGAAAGAAAGTCAGCAGTGGAAGGCTTTTTCTGTAAGCTTGCCAAAAGAATGTTATGTTCCATGGGAAATATATAGATTGACTCTTTTAACTAGAAAGTCCTAAGAAATAAATTTACTGGTGTATTAAAGAAAAAAATTGTATGTCTGTGTGTTTTTTAAAAAAAGTCTATGACTATTTTATGAGGGACAACAAATTGGTTAACTGACAAAAATCCGTTCTTATTTCAGGTACTACTGAAGGTGTCTCTGGCAAAACTCTGGAACCTGGGAGTAGCAACACAAGTGAGAAATTCTGAATTTGGCTCTTTGGCAATATAGCATATGGGAGCCCAAGGATGTCCTGCATAGTTCTTATACCTCTCACTTTTTTTCTCTCTCAGAGGCCACAGCATTTCCAGGGGACAGCAGGACCACCCAAGCAGGACTGCCAGGAGGTGAACTTTTCGGGTTGAGGCCTAGGCTGTCTATTTGAGATGCCTCAGTGAACTAGTAATATGGAGTCATTTGAGGGAGGGGTCCGCATCTTCCTCAGGGGCTATATTGTGTCATATCACATGGCACTGTTATTCTGCTTGGAAATACCACAAGCTCAGATATCTCAGGCAGGCTGCCCTCAGTGTTCTGGCTTTATGGAGACTTTTTTCCTGATAAAAGATGTGAGAGCACATTGCAAAATTCCATGCTCCTGGGACTTCTAATCCTCCTGACTCTGCTTGCCACTCCCCACATAGGTTGTCACTTGTCATTTTTTGTGTTTACTTATGCCTGATTTTTGAAATTTATTTTCTACCTTCCTTCAATACAAAAGCATCACAAACACAACTGATTATTAAAATGTGGCAATCCCTTTGGGTCCCACCCCACTGTGGGAGCTTTTCTGTCCTCTCAATAAATCCTGCTTTCATAAACAAACAAACAAACTAACTAACTAGCTAAATAAAATGCCTCAAGTTGTAGCCAAGACTCCTACTTTCCAGGGGAATATGTTGCTGAAAGGGAAAAAGCAAGGGTGACTTAAAACCCTTTCCCACCTTGCCTCAGAGTGAACAAGAAACCCGTTGGCCACACGACCACCACAGGCTGACCTGGAAAATGAAATGCTAGGAAGTTTTTCATTTTTCATTCTTAACAGAGACAGAGTATCCTCAGGAAAGGGCTTCCAGTGCTCTGGGGACATATTAATGTCTCCAAGATTAATTAGAGAGCTAATACTCAATTTCTCCATTTAGTCTTCTGCATTTAGGCACCACTAGAGAATTTTCTGGAATGACCATTGTATCTGAAATGTCTAACACCAGTAGGTTCTTAAGTCCTCTTGAGTCTCAGATGTCATGATATCTCTATAAGGGCTGCTATGAAAAAATAACACCCCAATTTATCTCCATTGTTCCACATTACCAACTTAATCACTCTCCTATTTCTTTACTCAGAGACCACAACTTCCACAAAAGTGACTGGTTCTACTGGAACTGGACTCAAAACTGGTGAGAATAAACAGTCCACGATGTGGGATCATCAGGATTAGGACACTCAAGCTCTCCTTGAGAGAGAATTCACATTATTTAAGGACACTGCAAGTGATTCAAACTAGGTTTACTAATATAGATAAAATCTCCTGAAAATCTACTAATTCTAAAATTGTCCTCAAAGCTCCAAGTCTGAGGATTGGAATGGGAATTCTCCATTAATATTATAGCTATCACTGCATCTTAGCTGGAATTATGAATGCTTCCTGTGTGTGTTCTTGTGTGTGTGTGTGTGTGTGTGTGTGTGTGTGTGTGTGTGTGTGTGTGTGTGTGTGTGTGTCTGCCGGTATAAAATAGAAAAGAGCTCCGTGGAGTCAGGATGCTTGCATGTGTATGTTTCTAATGTGTAACTGTTTTCTTGGTCATTATTTCTCCTATGTCTAATAAGCTTTAGCACATTTAAAACTCCTTCCTCCTTTCTATCACACAGCAGGTATCACTTCGGCACCAGGGAAACAAGCAGGTGAGCACTGGGGAAATGCATCTAGTTTCCATTTATGTGAAATTTTAGGCAGAAGTACCTGAACTTGGGAACACTGTCTCTATTTGCTTAGGTTATGAAATGGTGAAAGCAGGCAGATGCATCTAGTTCACCATCTGCCATGTGCCAAAGCAAGAGAAATAAATAAATACATTTTAACCATTCAGATTTGAATCTTTATTTGACTTAGTGAGTCACCATGATTACCACAGTCCCTTTGTATTTCAGGCACCTCTGGGGTAGCCCCTGGCACAACAGTTGCCCCTGGAAGTTTCAGCACGGGTGAGTCCACAACTGGGCAGGGAATCCTTTCACGAGTGCATCCTTCAGTGATATGGCTTCCCTTTTGATGCGTCTATGTGGAAGTGTCACCAGTGCTTTCCTAGCTCCCTGAATCTGTTTATTTGTGTCTGTCTTTTCTCAGCAGCCACAGCTTCTGGATCAAATGGAGTGACTGGGGTTGGAACCACTATAGGTAAGCAGCAATGACACACACCCTCCTTCCCAATAGATAATGTTACCTGAATTGCATCTAGTGTTTACATGTTTCATAAAGATCATTTTCTGGACAAAAATTGCTGGACAGCCATGATTTTTTCTAATAACCAAAGTTCAGATCCTCAAGCTCTTTCATCCTCATTTCCTTGGCTTCAAAGATACTTCACCATGGAGCTAAGGCACTGAGAATCTGTTAGGTATTAGAGAGAAATCTATTACTTTCTCTTATTGATATCTAAAGGAAGTAATTGAGTTACTGAAATTTTTGTAATTATATTTTCTATAGGATGGAAATAGTCCATGGAAAACATGAATTTGGTTGTAAAAACCTCTAGAAAAACGGTCCTGGTTTTAAAAACCTCTGAAAAGAACTTTTTTGGCATATTTAGAAAAAAAACATAATTCCTTTGCCCTTTTTCTTGACCATTTTCTCTTTACTATGAGTAAAAAAACTGATCTTAATAATTCCAAGATCCAATATAGCACCACTGGTCAAATTTTTGAACATGAAAAGTTTAATATTTAAAGCAATACATAATCCAGATAAGAGGAAAGAGCATGTCTATAGTTATGATTTCTTTACTATATATACGTCTACCCATGAGAAGTTTACATACCTTATTACAATTAAGAACCTCCTAAAGTTCAATTAAGAACCACATAAGTTAACATTTTTTAAAATCTCAACTTTTAAAAGAGTTGGATGTGTATCTTAGTAGTTTATGCCACTTTTACAGTCTGAAGGGCTTCTTTTTGCCTTAATAATAGGTGACAAGATATTTTCAATTGTGCTTATCTCATATATCAACATCACCTCAGCTCATCTCCCTTCCTTAATAGTTAACTATCATTTTTTTTCTTTCCTCTTCTAAGATACCACGACTTTCCTAGGAGGAAGTGGCATCACTGGAGCAGGACTGAAAACAGGTACAGATTTTGAGGTTTTAATTATTTATTGTTAGAGTTTGACTTCAGGATGATAGACTTATTAGAAACAATATTTTGTAATGAGCTTTTTAATTTTAGAATAATTTTAAATTTCAGAAAATTTACAAAACAGGACTGAGAAATCCTTTAATGTGGAGTGAAGAGCTTTTATTTCTTTTGGAGTCTGTAATATTTCTGAAGAAGCAGGATTCCTTTCTGGATTTGGGTTTAGGATCACTTTGGCCCCAATTTCCAAAAGCTTTCCCTTCTCAAGAACTAGCCTTAAGGCTCTAGGGACCTCAAGAGGACAGTTACAATATCTGAATCTAAAATGGTTTTCCATTTGAATGAGCTTAGTTTGTATAGTATTGCACTACTGATGTCTATTCAGCTCTAATGTCATTAAGATGTCAGATTTTAGTTCAAAGACAAAAATACTAAATCTGTCTCCTTCCTCCTCCTCTTTCTCCTCTTACTGTTCTTCTCATCTTCTTCTTTCTTCTCTTCCTCCTTATACTTGTCCTTTTCCTCCTCTTCCTTTTTTTCCTTCTTCTTTCTTTTCTTTTTCTTTTTCTTTTTTTTTCACTAGAAGCTACCACTGGAGCACCAGGAATTAATACAGGTAAACTTGGGAAAAGTCTTTGATCAGACCTTTAACCATGTCAGAAATAATTAAGGCAAAGACATTTGCCACTGCATTAACTTTGGTCTTTCAGTAGCACTTGGAAAACATGGGAAATGTCTCTCTTCCTGTTAGGTATAAGTCCAGGAGTTTCTTGTGCTTCTTTAAAGACTCAGGCATATTGTAGACCATATTCTTCTAAAGATTAAAAATTCTCCACTATGTTAATCTTTCTCTCTCTTTTTTCTCCTATCTAGGTACAGCTGGAGTGCCCTCTGATACAACAGTTGTACCCGGAAGCTACAACTCAGGTAAACCATGCAGCTGGGAAGGACCACAGCTTGAGAAGGCCTCCCATACACGTGTCTCCCTGGATGATCCTACCATACTTTCCTCAGATTCTTCAGACCTTCACCCTTATTACTATTATTCTTTCCACTTCCTCAGTAGCTACAACTTCTGTAGGAAAAAAGCGGAACAGCAAGAGCTAACATAAATCACAGGTGGACTCTGTAAAGGCACTACTGTACTTTCTAATAACTTTCTAAGTCATTCCGGAAATATATCAATACCCTTTGAAGTTCCCACAAGTGGCATATTAGGCAAGAAAAATTAGCAGATTATCAATATTTGACATGAATAAATACAGTTAAGATACTTCAACCTTTCTGCCTTATGTCTTGGATCTTGGGACTAAGGACCCTTCATCAGGTCACCATGGGGACCTGACAATTATATAGATGATTTGGGCTCAAATCTACATCTCTGTAAGTTAACAGTAGAAAAAGGGATTTAGTGGGAGAACTTTCTCCATAAACTTGTCAAGGGAATGGTATGTTTCATGGGTCGCTTACTGATTAACTCTTAAAACTAGAAAGTCCAGAGCAATAAATTTACTGATAAATTAAAGAAAGTTCTTATGTCCCTAAGGACAACTTATGTCCCTAAGGACAACTAATTGACCAACTGATTGCAATCCTTTCTTATTTCAGTTACTACTGAGGGCATCGCTGGCAAAACTCTGGAACCTGGGGGAACCAACACAGGTGAAAAATTCTAGACATGGCCCCTGGACAGTATAGCCTCTGGGAACTCTGATTAACCTGTCCAGTCTTTAAACCTTCCATTTTTTCCTGTCTCAGAGGCCACAACTTTCTCAGGAGCCAGCGGGACCACCCACGCAGGACTGCCAAAAGGTAAGCTTTTCAGGCTGAGACCTAGGCTCTCATCATCTGTCTATTTGAGATGCTTCAGTGAACAAATGACATTAAGGAGGTTGAAAGACCAGTCTACATTTTCTTTGGGTTCATATTGTGTCATATCAACCTAAACAGTTATTCTGCTTGGGAATTCCATGACCTCAGGTGTCTCAGGTAGACTGTCCTCAGAATCCTGGTTTATAAAAACATTATTTTCTGATAATAGGTGTGAGAGCATATTGCATATACATCATCTCCAGGACTTCTAATCCTCTAAATCCATCATAGGAGATTGCGATTTACTATCATTTTTCTTTTTACTTAATCATATTTTTATTTATTTTTTGTCTCCCCTCCTTAGAAAGCTTCATGAAGACAACTGAATATTAAAATGTCTCAATTTATATTAAAGAATCCCACTTATAAAGATGTAAAAACACATGCTTTTTTTCCTTTCATAGGTCCTCTGGCACACAAGGTCATATGTCCCTGAAAGTGAAACAAGTAGGGTGGAATAAACTGTTTTATCTCCTTAGCTCATAAGGAAAGGGAAACCCAGTGGCAACACATCTATTCTAGGTTGGCCTGGGAAATGAAATGCTAAGAAGTTGTTCATTTTCCATTCTTAAGAGACTGAGTATCCTCAGGAAAGGACTTCCGGTGCTTTAGGGCCACAATGATGCTTTGAAGATTAATTTGGGTGGTAATACTCAATGGCTCCATTAACTTTTTTACATTTTAGGTACTACTCGAGAATTTTCTGGAACAACCATTATATCTAAAAGTTCTAACACAGGTAGGTTAATCAGAAGGAAGTATCTCATATTTAATGTCAAGTGCCAATCTTTTTTAGGGATGCTGTGATGAAATTATGCCCTAGTATCTCTGCTTAGCATTTCTAATTTCTTAGACTTCATCATTTTCCTATTTCTTACATCAGAGGCCACAACATCCACAGACGGGACTGGTTCTACTGAAACCAATGAGAATAGACATTCTATGATTTGGGGTCATTAGGATTAGTACACTCAAGCTTTCCTTGAGAGAAAATTCATTTTGTTAGGAATGCTCCAAGTAATTCAAAATAGGTTTGCTATTAGAATAAGTTTTTGAAAACTACTAATTCCAGAATTGGGCTTCATTGAATTAAATCTGAGGATAGGATAGGATTCCTTCATTGGTGTTATGATTAATACTAGCATCTTAGTTGGAATTCAGAACTTTTGTCATGCTTTTATGAATGCAAGATATAGAAAAAGAGCCCCATGGAGTCAGGATGCATGAATATGTATGTGTGTTATGGATAAAAATTAGCTTGGTCACTATTTCTTCTTATAACTAAAATTTCAGCACATTTAAGATTTTTTCCCCCCTCTTTTCTACCTCACAGCAGGCATCACTGCAGCACCAGGGGAGCAAGCCGGTGAGCACTGGGGAAATGCATTTAGTTTCCTTTTGATGAAATTCCAGATAGAAGTTCCTGGACTTGGGAACATTCTCACTATATTGCTTAGCTTGTGAATTGTTGAAAACAGGCAAAGGCATCTAGATCACTATCTGCTATATGATCAGAGCAAGAGTTTCCTTTTATAACTAAATGCATTATAACCCCTTAGACTTCATTTGACTTAATGAGTCACATGATCACCTCAGTCCTTTTGTGTTTCAGGCACCACTGGGGTAGCTCCTGGCACAACAGTTGCTCCTGGAAGTATCAGTACAGGTGAGTCCACAGTTTGGCGGGTAACTTTTCTCAAGAGTAAACCCTAGAATGATATGTCTTCAATTTGGGGGCTTCTGTTAAGAAGTTCCGTTATTACGTACATAGCTCCTGGAATCATTTTTATTTATGTCCTATTTCTCCTGGAGCAAGTAGAATAACTGGTGTTGGAACCACTACAGGTAAGCACTGACAAACCAATTCCTCCTTCCCAATAAACATTGTTGCCCTATTGCATCTAATATTTATATGTCTCTTGAAGAGCTCTTTCTGGACAAAGATTACTGGATGGCCAGAATTTTTTTCTAATAACTAATAACTAAACCTCAAACTCTTTCTTCCTCCTTCCCTCAGCTTGAGGAAGCATCATGGGACTAAAGCACTGGTGATAAGTTAGGTGATTAGAAAGAGATGTCTTCCTCTTACTGATATGTAAAGGAAGTGATGGAGTTATTGAAATGTTTCCTTTGAAATTTCTGGTAAGATAGAAGTGGTCTACGGAAAATATATTTGGATTAATTCCTGCTTCTAGAAACCTCTGAAAGAGCTCTTGGTATATCAAGAAAAACACATATATCTCTCACCATCTTGACTTTTCTGCTTCATTATAAGAATTCATTGCTGATTTCATGTCACTCACTCATTCTAAGTTTCAATATAGTAGATACTGGCCAAATTCTTGCATATGAAAAGTGTAATGCTTAAAGCAACAATTAATGATGGTGATAGTAATGAGCATATCTGTCATTTGAGTTTTTTAATATATACTTTTCAACCTTCTGGATCTATGTTTTTTATATATTAGAGAGTATAAGCACAGATTTCTTGCATGCATATATTTTGTCATTGTGATGTCTCCACTTTTAGTGTACCCATCACCCAAATAGTGAATATTTCACCCAATAAATAGTTTTTCAGTTTCGGCCCCTCCCGCTTTCTTACCATGTGTAAACTCCAGTGTCTGTTATTCTAACACATTTGTCCATGTGTACCCATTGTTTTTCTCCCACTTATAAATGAGCATCTGTGGTACTTGATGTTCTTCTGCTACTGACTTATTTTGCATAGGATAATGGCTTCCAGTTCCATCCTTACTATAAACAGTTTTATTAAAGAAGTTTATAGATTTTATTCCAACTAAGAACAATCTAAGGTCCCATAGAAAACCATGCAAGTTCAAAGTATTTTCTCACTTTTTAAACAAGTACTCTTACCATAAGAAGAACTTTTCTGACTAAATAGTAGGCATCAAGACATTTTCAGTTGTGCTTGTCTCATGTATTAACACCCCCTTAGCATATCCATCTTTCCTAATACACTGGTGCAGAAATAAAACATGAAGATTTGGGGTTTTCATTATGTATTCTTGTAGTTTGACTCCAGATTGATCAATTTTTTAGTGAAAACAATTTTATCAATGAGATTTTCATTTTGGAGTAATTTTAGATAAATAATAGGTAATGCAAAGAATCTCTTTAATGTAGAACAAAGGTTTTTATTTCACTGGGAAGCTATAATATTTCAAGGAATCCTGACTACTTTTTTGGATTTGAAGTTGGAAGTACTTGGGCCCAAATTTCTAAAAGGCATTCCCTTCCAGGGACTAACTTAAGGGTTCTAGGCCTCTTGTGAGGAAAGCTTCAATATTTCTGACTGTGATATGGCTTTCCCTTTGAAAGGAACTTAGTCTGTATAACATTACAGTACCAACTTCTATTCAGCTTAGAATCATTAAGCTGTAATATTTTAGTTCAAAGACTAAAAATATAAAATATTGTTTTCTTCTTTTTCTCCCTCCTCCTCCTTCTTTACTGATCTTTCTCCTCCTCCTCTTCTTCTTTCTTTTTCTTTTCACTAGAAGCCAACATGGAGCACCAAAAAATAAGATAGGGCAACTTGGGAAAAGTCTTTGATCAGACTTTCAACCTTGACAAAAATAAGTGATCAGGGCAGGGATATTAGCCACTGTATTAACATTGGCTGTGCAGAAGCACATGGTAAAATGGAAACTGTCTCTCAACCTGTCAGTTATATGTCCTGCAAGTGTCCTTTGCTGCTTCAAAGTCCCACAGAGACATTGTGTTGGCCACAGTCTCTAAGGATTACAAAAGTGACACTATGTTGATCTTTCTCTTTTTTCCCTGCCTAGGCACAGCTGGAGTGCCCTCTGGGACAACAGTTGTGCTTGGAAGCTCCAACTCAGGTAAATTCCCAAGCTGGGAAGGATCACTGCTTGGGAAGCGTTCCTCAGTAAGGTGTCTCCTGGATGGTCCTACCCTACTGTTCTCAGATCCTTCAAAGCTTTGCCTTCACTACTATTGTTTTCTCTCTTTCTCAGAGGCCACAACTTCTGAAGGAAAAAGTGGAACCACAAGAGCTGAAATAATCACAGGTGAGCTCTATCAAGACACTGCTATACTTTCTAATAACTTCCAAAGTCTTGACTGAAATGTATCAAAACTTTCAATTTTCTATATTTAGCAAACTAGGCAAAAGTTTAGTAGATGTTCAATATTTGACATGAATAAATGCGGTTCAGACATTTAAAATTTTCCTTCTTATATCTTGTGCTTTGGGTCTAGGGAACCCTCATAGGGCATCATGGGACCGATTTCCTGACAGTTACATAGGTGATTTGGGCCCAAATCTATATTCCTGTAACTCAGCCCTCAAATAAGGCAGTCAGCATTGGAGGAATTTGCCTGTAAACTTGACAAGGGAATGCTATTTTCTTTGGGAAATATATCGATTAACTCTTAAAACTAGAATGTCCAGAGAAATAAATTTGCTAGTGAATAGACACCATGTTTATTTTTCCCATTAAATTCGATGCCCATTTCATTATGGGCTACAGACTGACCAACTGACCACAATGCTTTCTTATTTCAGGTACTACTGAGGGTATCGCTGGCAAAACTCTAGTACCTGGAAGTACTAATACAGGTGAGGAATTATGAATCTGGCCCTTTGGCAATATAGCCTATGGGAGCCCTATCCAGACTTTATACCTCTCACTTTTTTTTCTCTTTCAGGAGCCACCACATTTCCAGGGGACAGCGGGACCACCCAAGCAGGACTGCCAGGAGGTGAGCCTTTTGAGTTGAGGCCTAGGCTGTCTATTTGAGACACCTCAGTGAGCAAGTAATACAAAGTCATTTGAGGGAGGGGTCTGCATCTTTTTCTGGGACCATATTGTGTCATATCACTTGGTACATTCTGCTTGGAAATGCCACAATCTCAGATATCTCAGGCAGGCTGCTTTCAGTGTTCTGGCTTATAGAAACTTCTTTTTTTCTGATAAAAGATGTGAGACCATATTGCATATATTCCACTCTCCCAGGACTTCCAATCCTGACCCAGCTTGCCACTCCCCACATAAGTTGCCACTTGCTATCATTTTTTATGTTTACTTATACCTGATATTTGTAATTTATTTTCTACTCCCTTTCAATACAAAAACTTTGTGAAGACTACTGATATTATTATATCAAAGACTCCTGCTTACAAAGATAAAACCATGCTTTACTCCTTCCTTCTGGCCTCTTGCACACCAGGGTATATGTCCCTAAAAGGGAAAAAGTAAGGGTGATTTAAAACCATTTTCCCCCTTTCCTCAGAGTAAAAAAAAAAAAAAAAGAAAAACCCCAGTGGCAATACAACCATCCTAGGCTGGTCTGGAAAATGAGATGCTACGAAGTTGTTCATATTCCTTTCCCACCAAAAAGAGAGAGAGAGAGAGAGAGAGAGAGAGAGAGAGGAGTATCCTCAGGAAAGGGCTTCCTGTGCTTTGGGGTCACATTAATGACTCCAAGATTAATCAGGGAGCTAATACTCTTTTATCCAATTTTTTATCTGCATTTTAGGTGCCATTAGATAATTTTCTGGAACTATTGTATCTGAAAATTCCAACACCAGTAGCTTCTTAAGAAGACAATACCTGTTCTTTAGTCTCAGATGTCATGAAATCTCTGTTAGGGCTGCTTAATAAAACAACACCCCAATATATCCTCTTTTGTTCCAAATTCCCACAGTTCATCATTCTCCTATTTCTTTCTTCAGAGACCACAACTTCCACAGAAGGGACTGGTTCTACTAGAACTGGACTCAAAACTGGTGAGAATAAACAGCACATGATGCGGGGTCATCAGGATTAGGGCACTCAAATGTTCTTGAGAAGAATTCATATTATTTAAGTACACTGCAAGTGATTCAAAGTGAGTTTGCTATTACAAATAAAATGCTCTTGAAACTCTGCTAGTTCTAAAATTGTCCTCAAAGCTCTAAGTCTGAAGATTGGGGTGGGAGTTCCCCACTAGTATTATCGCTACCACCAGCATCTTTGCTGGAATTACAAATGTTTCGTGTGTGTGTGTGTGTGTGTGTGTGTGTGTGTGTCTGCCTGTGTAAAATAGGAAAGAGTTCCACAGAACCATAATGCATGCATGTGTGTGTGTCTATATGTATAGCAATTTTCTTGGTCATTATTTCTCCTATATCTAAAAGTTTTAGCACATTTAAAACTCCCTTCTCTTTTCTCCCTCAAAGCAGGCATCACTTTGGCACCAGGGAAACAAACAGGTGAGCACTGGGGAAATACATCTAGTTTCCATTTATATCAAATTTTAGGCAGAAGTACCTGATCTTGGGAACACTGTCTCTATTTGCTTAGGTTATGAAATGGAGAAAACCAGCAGATACATCTAATTCATCATCTGCCATGTGCCAAAGCAAGGGAAAGAAATAACTACATTTTAACCCTTCAGATTTGGGTTCTCATTTGACTTAGTGAGTCACCATAATCACCACAGTCTCTTTTTGTTTCAGGCACCACTGGGGTAGCCGCTCGCACAACAGTTGCCCCTGGAAGTGTCAGCACAGGTGAGTCCACAGCTGGGCAGGAAATGCTTTCCTAAGTACTTCCTACTTTGATATGTCTTGCTTTTTGATGCTTTTATGCAGAAGTACCACTATTACATTCCTAGCTCCCTGAATCTATTTTCCTTATGCCCGTCTTTTCTCAGCAGCTACAACTTCTGGAGTAAATGAAGTTCCAGGGGTTGGAACCACGGCAGGTAAGCATTGACTACGCACACCCTCCTTCCTAATAGAAAATGTTCCCTAGCCGGGCTCGGTGGCTCAGCCTGTAATCCCACGCCTTTGGGAGGCTGAGGTGAGTGGATTGCCTGAGCCCGCGGGTTCGAGACCTGCCTGGGCAGCGAGACCTCATCTCTACAATAAATCAAAAAATTGGCTGGGCGTGGTAGCACGCGCCTGTAATTCCGGCTACTTGGAAGGCTGAGGCGGAAGGATCGCCAGAGCCCAGCAGGTCGAGGCTGCGGTGGCCAGGAGCGGCCACTGCACTCCAGTCTGGGCGACAGAGTGAGACTCCAACTCAAAAAAAAAAGAAAATGTTCCCTGAATTGCATCTACTATTTATATGTCTCATGAAGAGCATTTTCTGGACAAAAATTACTGGATGGATCCGATTTTTTCTAATAATCATAGGTTAGATCCTCAGGCTCTTTTATCCTTCTTTCCTTGGCTTCAAGGACACTTCACCATGGAGCTAAGGCACTGATAATCAGTAAGGTATTAGAGAGAAATCTAATACTTTCTCTTATTGATATCTAAAGGAAGTAATTGAGTTACTGAAATTTTTGTAATTATATTTTCTATAGGATAGACTTTGTCCATGGAAAATATGAACCTGGCTCTAAAATACTCTAGAAAAATGGTGCTGGTTCTAGAAACTTCCATAAAGAACTTTTTGACATATTGAGAAAACATATAGTTCCCTCACCCCCCAATTCTGACCTTTTAATCTTTACTATAGGTAAGAAAAATGAGATATTAATTTCTATCACTCTCTAATTCCAAGATCCAATATTGCAGCCATTAGTCAAATTCTTGGACATGAAAACTTTAATACTTAAAGCAATGAATAATCCTGATAATAGGAATAGGCATTCCTATCATTTATGAGTTCTTTACTATATACATTTATCAATGAGAAATTTATATATCTTATTCCAATAAACACCTCCTAAGGTTTAATTAAGAGCCATGAGTTAATTTTTTTAAAATCTCAACTTTTAAGAGTTAAATGCATTTGTATACCTTACCCTGAATTGTACCCCACAACTTTAAAATTAAAAAAAGAAGAAAAAAAAAGAAGAGTTAAATGCACATATTGATAGTTTATGCAGTCTTTTACAGTCTGGAGGTGACAAGACATTTTTAATTGTGCTTATCTCATATATCAACATTACCTCAGCTCATCCCTCTTGCTTAATGCTCAATTAATACTGCTTTCTTTCCTCTTCTAAGAGACCACAAGTTTCCTAGGAGGCACCTCTGGAGCAGGTCTAAAATCAGGTACAGATTTTGAGGTTTTCATTATTTATTTTTAGAGTTTGATTCTAGGTTGATAGATTCAGTAGAATAAACATTTTTTTAAAAAATATTTTTTATTATGGTTTTGTGGGGTACAGTTAAAGGTTAGGTATACAATTACATTTCATTCAGGCACCCTGTTGATAAGAGGCGTTTCCCCGTCCCCAGACAGATATTTGCTACTGTTAATCCCATCTCCCTCCCCTCCATAGTTTCCCAGTACCGTCAGTCATTTTCTTATAGCATTACATTGGATGTTCAAGGTCCATTATATGAGTGAGAACATGTGATACTCAGATCTTTGTTTCTGTGAGAGGTCACTCAGTATTATAGACTCTAGTTCCATCCAGGTTGCTGCAAGAATAAACATTTTTAATGAGTTTTTTATTTTAGAATAATTTTAAATTTTAGAAAATTTTCAAAAGCAAGACTGAAAATCTCCTTAATGTGGGGTAGAGGGCTTTATTTCCTTTGGAGCCTACAGTAGTTCAGAACCAAGGTTCCTTTCTGGATTTGGGATTTGGGAAGACTTGGACCCCAATTTCCAAAAGGCTTTCCCTCTCAAGGACTAACTTCAGGGTTTTACGTCTCTCAAGAAGACAGTTACAATATTTCTGAATCTTAAATGGTTTTCCCTTAGAAAGACCTTAGTTTGGGTAGTATTACACTACTGACTTCTATTCAGCTTTTTTGGGCTCAAATCTATATCTCTATAAGTAAACAGTAAAAAAGGGTCTCAGTAGGAAGACTTTCTCTATAAGTGTGTCAAGGGAATGGTCTATTCCATGGGCACTTTATTGATTAACTCTTAAAACTAGACAACCCAGAGCAATTTATCTACTGGTAAATTAAAGAAAGAAAGCTTTTTTATTTTTGTTAAAACCTTATGACCATACTACAAAGGGCATTTAATTGACCAACAGATCACTATCCTTTCTTATTTCAGTTACTACCAAGGGCGTTTATGGCAAAACTGTGGAACCTGGAAGTGCCCACACAGATAAAGAATTTTAGACATGGCTTTTTGCCAGTATAGGTTATAGGAGTCCCAAAATGTCCTGTCCAGTCTTTGTACCTCCCTCCCTTTTTTTTCCTCAGAGGCTACAACTTTCTCAGGAGCCAGTGGGACCACCCAAGCAGGAATGCCAGGAGGTGAGCTTTTCAGGCTAAGGTCTAGACTCTCATAATCTGTGTTTTGAGACATTTCAGTGAACAAATAATATGAAGGAGGTTGAAAGATGGGTCTGCATTTTCTCTGAGGCCATATTGTATCATACCAACCCAGGCAGTTATTCTGCTTGGGAATTCCATGATCTCAGGGATCTAGAGAAGACTGTCCTCAGATTCCTGGTTTATAGAAACATTATTTTCTGGTAATAAGTGTGAGAGCATATTGCATGTACATCACCTCCAGGCCTTTCAATCCTACCGAATAAGTTGACCATTCTCCTCTATGGGTTACCACTTACTACTATTTTTTATGTTCATTTAATCATATTATTATGCATTTTTTGTCTCCTCTTATTAGAAAGCGTCATGAAGAAAGCTCATATTATAATACCCCAAGTTGTATCAAACAGTCTTATTTATAAAGATTAAAAATAACTCTCTTTATTCCTTTCATAGGCTCTCTGACACACAGGGTCTTATGTCCTGGAAGTGCAACAAGTAGGGTGGTATAAACTCTTTTCACCCTTACCTCATAGGGAAAGGGAAACCCAGTGGCAACACATACATGCTAGGTTGACCTGGGAAATGAAATGCTAGGAAGTTGTTCATTTTCCATTCTTAACAAAGAAGGAGTACTCTCAGGAAAAGGCTTCTGGTGCTTTAGGGCCACTGGTGCTTCGAAAATCATTTTGGGTGGCAATACTCTATGGTTCCATTGACTTTTTTTGCATTTTAGGTACCACTGGAGAATTTTCTGGAACACCCATTACATCTAGAAGTTCTAACACAGGTAGATTCATAAGAAGAAAATGCCTCCTATTTTATCTCAGATGTCACATCCTTCTTTGGAATGCTATGATGAAATTGCACCCTAGTATCTCCCCCTAGTATTACAAATTTTCTGACTTCATCATTTTTCTATTTCTTACTTCAGAGGTCACAACTTCCAAAGAAGGGACTGGTTCTACTGAAACTAGACTCAAAACCAATGAGAATAAACATCCCATGATTTGGAGTCATCAGGATTAGGACTCTAAAACTTTCCTTGAGAGAGAATTTATTTTATTTAGGAACATTGCAAATGATTCAAAATAGGTTTGCATTAGAAATAAGTTTTTGAAAACCTACTAATCCCAGAATTGGGCTTCATTGCTGTAAGTCTCAGGATAGGATAGGATTCCTTCATTGGTGTTACAGTTAGTACCAGCATCTTAGCTGGATTTAAGAACTTTTGTCATGCTTGTGTGAATTGTGATATGGAAAAGAGCCCCATGGAACCAGGATACATGCAAATGTATGTGTGTATATATATGAAAATTAGCTTGGTCACTATTTTCTCCTATATCTAAAATTTCAGTAAATTTAAGACTTCTTTTCCCTCTCTTTTCTACCTCACAGCAGGCATCACTGCAGAACCAGGGAAGCAAGCTGGTGAGCACTGGAGAAATGCATCTAGTTTCCCCTTGATCACATTCCTGGTAGAAGTTCCTGGACTTGGGAGCATTCTCACTATATTTGCTTAACTTATGAATTGTTGAAAGCAGGCAAAGACATCTAGATCACCATCTACCATGTGATCAGAGCAAGAGATTTCTGTTTTGGCTAAATATATTACAACCCCTTGGACTTCATTTGACTTAATGAATCACATGATCACCTCAGTCCCTTTGTGTTTTCAGGCACCACTGGGGTAGCTCCTGACACAACAGTTGCTCCTAGAAGTTTCAGTACAGGTGAGTCCACAGTTTGGCAGGTAATTTTCTCATAAGTAATTCTTAGAATGATATGTCTTCAATTTGGGGGCTTCTATGCAAATGAGCAGCTCTTACATACTTATCTCCCTGAATCATTTCAATTTATGTCCTCTTTTTCTCAGCAGCCACAATTTCTCCTGGAGCAAGTGGTGTAACTGGAACCACTGCAGGTAAGCTCTGACAAACCAATTCCTCCTTCTCAATAGACATTGCTACCCCATTGCATCTAAGATTTATATGTCTCTTGAAGAGCTCTTTCTGGACAAAGATTACTGGATGGCCAGGATTTTTTTCTAGTAACTAAAGGTCAGACCCCAAACTCTTTCATACTGTTTTCCTCAGTTTAGGGAAACATTATCATGGAGCTAACGCACTAATAATAAGTTAGGTGATTGGAAAGAGATGTCTTTCTCTTATTGATATGTAAAGAAAGTAATAGAGTTATTGAGATGTTTCTTTTACATTTCCAGTAAGATAGAAATGGTCCATGAAAAATATATTTGGATTAACTCCTGGTTCTAGAAACCTCTGAACGAGTTCTTGGCATATTAGGGAAAACACACAAATTCCTTATCATCTTGGCTTTTCCTCCTCATTGTAAGTAAAGTATTGAGATGTTGACTCATGCCACACCCTCATTCCAAGTTCCAGTATGGTAGCCACTGGCCAAATTCTTGCACATGAAAAAGTCTAATACTTATAGCAACAATTAATGATGGTAATAGTAATGAGTATATGTCACTTGAGTTTTTCAATGTATATGTTTTAACCTTTTGAAATCTATATTTTTTATATTAGAGAGTATAAGCACAGATTTCTTAAATGCATATATTGTGTCATTGTGATGTCTCTACTTTTAGTGTACCCATTACCCAAATAGTGAACATTTTACCAAATAGAGAGTTTTTCAATTTCAGCCTCTCCCACTCTCCTACCTTTTGTAATCTCCAATGTCAATTATTCTAATTCATATGTTCATGTCCTATTGTTTTGCTCCCACTTATAAATGAACAACTGAGGTACTTAATGCTCTGCTTCTGACTTTTTTCACTTCGGATAATGACCTCCAGTTCCTCCCTTATTATATACATTTTAATTAAGAAATTTACATATTATAGTCTAATTAAGAACTACCTAGTTCCAATGGAAAGCTATTCAAGTTAAAAATATTTTATTGCCTCTTTTAAACAATTAAGCCTGTGTATTAAATGTTTATGTCACTCTTACAGTCAGAATAACTTTTCTGACTTAATAGCAGGTGACAAGATATTTCTAGTTGTGCTTATCTCATGTATTAACATTACCTTAGCACATCCATCTTTCTTAATACATTGGGACAGAAATGAAATCAGGTAAAGATTCAGGGTTTTCATTATAATTTATTAAGTTTGAGTCCTGATTGATTTTTTAGAGGAAACAAATTTTTAAAATCAGCCTTTCATTTTGGAGTAATTTTAAATAGATCGTAGATAGATAATGTAGAGAATCACTTTAATGTGGAATAGAGTTATTTAGTTCCTTGAGAGGCTATTCTATTTCAAGGAATTTACTGTATCTTTGGGATTTGGGTTTGAATTTAGATTTGGAAGCACTTGGGTTCAAATTTTCAAAAGACTTTCCCTTCTAAGAGACTAACTTAAGGGCACTAGGCCTCTCAAGAGGACAACTACAATATTTTTGGCTATGATTATTCCTTTGAAAAGAGCTTAGTCTGAATAACATTACGGTACTGAGTTCTATTCAGCTTAGAATTATTAGGATGTCATATTTTAGTTCAAAGATAAAAATTAAAATCTTTATCTCTTCTTCTCCTCCTTCTCCTTAGCGTTCTCTTCTTCCTCTTCTTTATGCTTTTGTTTTTTTTTTTCTTTTCAGTGGAAACTACCATTGAAGCATCAGGAAGTAAGACAGGGTTACCTGGGAAAAGCCTTTGATCAGACCTTCAATCTTGACAAAAATAAATGATCAGGGTAGAGATATTAGCCACTATATTAACATTGACCATGCAGAGGTAGACGGTAAAATGGAATATGTCTCTCTTCTTGTCAATTTTACGTCCAGCAAGTGTGCTTTGGTGCTTCAAAGTCCCACATAGACGTCGTGTTGGCCACAGTCTCTAAGAATTATAAAAATGTCACCATATTGATCTTTCCCTTTTTTCCCCGCCTAGGCACAGCTGGAGTGCCCTCTGGGACAACAGTTGTGTTTGGAAGCTCCAACTCAGGTAAATCCTCAACCTGGGAAGGATCACTACTTGGAAGGATTTCCTCAGTAAAGTGTCTTGTGGGTGGTCCTACCATACTTTTTTCAGATCTTTCAAAGCTTTGTCTTCACTGCTATTGTTTTCTCTCTTTCTCAGTAGCCATAACTTCTGTAGGAAAAAGTGGAACCACAAGAGCTGAAATAATCACAGGTGAGCTCTATCAAGACACTACTGTACATTCTGATAACTTCCAAAGTCTTGACTGAAATATATCAAAACCTTCTGAATTTTCTAGATTTGGCATACTAGGCAAAAATTTAGCAGAGGTTCAATATTTGACATGAATAAATGCAGTTCAGACATTTCAAGTTTTCCTCCTTGTATCTTGTGCCTTGGGAGTAGGGACCCCTAATATAGGGCATCATGGGGCTGATTTCCAACAGTGACATAGGTGATTTGGGCCCAAATCTATATTCCTGTAACTAAGCCCTAAAAAAAGGTAGTCAGTGTTAGAGGACTTTCTCTGCAAATTTGACAAGGGAATGCTGTTTCATGGGAAATGTATAGACGAACTCTTAAAACTTAAATGTCCAAAGAAATAAATTTGCTGGTGGATTGAAGACATTGCGTTTATATTCCCCATTAAATTTGATGTCCATTTTATTATGGGTAACAGATTGACTAATCAAAATTCTTTCTTATTTCAGGTACTACTGAGGACATCTTTAGCAAAACTCTGAAACCTGGAAGTGCCAGCACAGGTGAAGATTTCTGGACTAGGCCTTGGGCATTATAGCCTATGGTAGCCTTAGAATCTCCAGTCTTGTTTTCATCTCTCCCATTCTTTTCTCTCACAGAGGCCACGACATTCCCAAGAAGCAGTGGGAACACTGGAGCAGGACTGGCAGGAGGTGGGCTTTTCAGACTGCGACCTAGCTGTTGTTTATTGTTTATCTCACCTCACTAGGAAACTTCATGAAGACAGTTGATTATTAAACCATCCCAAGTTGTATCAAAGGGTCGTAGTTATAGTTTAAACCATGCCTTATTCCTTCCATAGACGCCTTTGTCATCCCAGAGGAATATATCCCTGGAAGGGAAAAGTAAGGGAGATTTAAAGTTCTTTTTCCCCTTGACACATAATGAAAGGAAAACCCAGTGGCAACACATCATTCCCAGATTGGCCTGTTTAATACAATGCAAGGTAGTTGTTCATTTTACATTCTGTACAGAATTTTCTCAAGTAAGGTTTCCTGTCCTTTAGGGCCACATTGATTCTTCAAAGATTTATTGGAGAAGAAGTACTCTATCGCTTTATTTCCTTTTTTTGCATTTTAGGTGCCACTGAAGAATTTTCTAAAACAACCATTATATCTGGAAGTTCGAACACAGGTAGGTTCTTAAGAAGATAATACCTCTTACTTGATCTCAGATGTCATGATATCTCTAATAGAGCTTCTATGATAAAATAACACCATACTATCTCCTCCCAGTATTCCAAATTCCCAGACTTCCTCATTCTCCTATTTCTTCCCTCAGAAGCCACAACTTCAACAGAAGGGACTGGTTCCACCCGAACTGGACTCAAAACAGGTGAGAATAAACAGATCTTAATCTAGAGTCATCAGTATCAGGAACTCAAACTTTTGTGGAGACCATTTGCATTTTATTTAAGAAGACTGCAATTGATTTAAAAAAGTTTGCTACTAGAAATAAAATTTTATAAAATCTACAAATTCTAGAATTGGGACTCATTGCTCAAAGTCTAAAGATAGTTTGAGATTTCTCCATTAGTGTTACAGTGATCACCAGCATCTTAAGTGGAATTCAGAGAGAGAGAGAGAGAGAGAGAGAGAGAGAGAGAGAGAGAGAGAGAGAGAGAGAGAAAACAGAGAGAGAAAAGAGACCCCTGGAACCAGGATGCATGTATGTGCATGTCTGTATATGTATATGTATAAACATTTGCTTGCTGGGTATTTTCTCCTACTACATCTAGTTTTCAGCACTTTTAAACCTTCCACTCACACCTCTTTTCTACCTCACAACAGGCATCACCACAAGACCAGGGAAGCAAGCAGGTGAGCATTGGGAAACGCATCTAGTTCCCTTTGAACAAATTGCAGGCAGAAGTGCCTGCCCTTGGGAACGCTGTCTATCTGTTTTGGTTATAAGTTGTTGAAAGCAGGCAGAAACATTGAGTTTACCATCTGTCATTTGATCAGAATAAGAGATTTCTGTTATGGCCAATAAGTAAATACATTATAACTCTTTAGATTTGGGTTTTCATTTGACCCAGTGAATTATCATAATCACCTTAGTACCTTTGTGTTTCAGGTACCTCTGGGGTAGCCCCAGGCACAGAAGTCGCCCCTGGAAGTTCCAGCACAGGTGAGCCCACAGTTTGGCAGTGAACTTTTCATGAATAATTTCTACAGTAATATGTCTTCCCTTTTGGTGCTTCTTAGCAGAAGTGCCACCATCGATTCCTAGCTCCCTCAATCTGTTTCATTTATGTCTTCCTCTCAGCAGCCACAACTTCTCCTGGAACAAGTGGAGTGACTGGCATTAGAACCCCTGCAGGTAAGTAATGACAAACCACTCTCTCCTTCCCAATAGGCATCATTGCCTGAACTGCATCTCATATGTGTACTTCCCGTGAAGATCATTTTCTCAACAAAAATTACTGAATATTTGGAATTTTCCTTAATAACAAAAGATCAGACCCCCAAGCTCTTTATCCTCTGTTCCTCTGCTTCAAATATACTTCACCATGGAGCAAATGCAGTGAGAATCAGTTAGGTGATGAAGAGAAATGTGTTTCCTTCTCTTGTCAATATCTAAAGGAAGTAATTGAGTCACTGAAATTTTTATTATTAAATTTTCTGTGAGATAGAAATGGTGCATCGAAAAATTATAGATTGACTCCTGGTTTTCAAACTCTCTAAAAAGAGCTTGTTGGCATATCAAGAAAACTGTTCTCTCACCTCCGTGCTTGGTCATTTTCTTCTCATTATAGGCAAAGAATTGAGATATTGGTTTCTATCACTCTCTAATTTCAAGTGTGAATATGGCAGCCACTGGCTTATTTCTTGCACATGGAAAGTCTAATACTTAAAGCAATTAATAATAATGGTGATTGTAATGAGCATATCTATCATTTATGAGTTTCTTACTATTTAACTTTTTGATCTGAAATCTATATTAAAACATTTTTAAAAATTTATATGGTGGCATACAAGTACAGGTTTCTTACGTGCATATGTTGTGTCATGGTAAAATCTGGGCTTTTAGTGTATTCATACCCAAATAGTGAACATTGAACCCGATGGGTAATTTTTCAACCCTCACCTGTCTCTCACCCCACTATGTTTTGTAATCTCCAGTGTCTATCATTCTGCTCTGTATGGCCATATGTACCCATTTGCTTAACTACCATTTATCAATGAGAACCTGGGACATTTGACTTTCTGGTCTGAGTTATTTCACTTATGATAATGACCTCCAGTTTCATTCTTAATATGTACATTTTTCTTAAGGAGATTACATATGTTATTCCAGTTAAGAACTACTTAAGGTCCAATGAAGAACTATAGGGATTAAGTTGTTTTTCTCCACTTTTAAAATAAATAAATTTGTCTATTAAAATTTGTTACTTTTACAGTCAGTAGAACTTATTTGACTTAATACTAAATGACAAGATGTTTTCAGTTGTGCTTATCTTATGTATTAACATCAACTTAGCATAGCAATCTCCCTAATATTCAATTAATTTGGTTTTCTTTCTCTTTTTTAAGGGACCACAACTTTCCTAGGAGGAAGTGCCACCACTGGAGCAGAAATAAAATCAGGTGAAGATTTGGGGGTTTTCATTACTGATTGTTGTTGTCTAAGTCCAGTTTGAGAGATTTGTTAGATAAAACAGTTTTAAAATAAGTTTTTCATTTGGAACAATTTTAAAATGCAGAAAACTTGCAGAAAAGATACAGAGAGTACCTTTAATGTAGAGTGTAGTTTTTTATTTCCTTTAGAAGCTGTAATATTCCAAGGGAAATAGGGTTCCTTTGGATGGTATTTGGAACCACTCAGGCTCAAATTCCCAAAAAGCTTCCCCTTCTCAGGGAATATCCTGAGACTCCTAGTCTCTCAAGAGAGCAGTGGCAATACTTCTTATCTGAAATGCTTTTCTCTTTGAAAACAGCTTAGTCTGTATAACATGAAATTAGTGACTTCTATGGAGCCCAGAGTTTTTAAAATCAACATCTTTCTTTTATCACTTTCTATTTCTCTTCCTCTCAGTCTTCCTTTCTTTTTTCCATTAGAAGTCACCACTACGATAAACATATGTATGCAGGTATCTTTTTTATAGAGTGATTTGAGTTCTTCAGGGTATATTCCCAGTAGGAGTATTGCGGGGTCATATGGAAGCTTGATTTTTAGAGCTTTTAGGAATCCCCACACTGATTTCCACAGAAGCTGCACTAGTTTACACTCCCACCAACAGTGTAGAAATGTTCCCTTTTCACCACATCCTCTCCAGCATCTGTTATTTTTTGAGTTATTTATAATGGCCATTCTGACTGGAGTGAGGTGGTATCTCAGTGTAGTTTTAATTTTCATCTCCTTAATGACTAGTGAGGAACATTTCTTCATGTATCTGTTGGCTGCTCGTATGTCTTCTTTTGAGAAGTGTCTGTTCATATCTTTTGCCCACTTTGTAACGGGGCTGTTTGTTTTTTTCTTTTTGGCACGCCTCATCCACAAGGGTACCTGCACAATGCATGTTTGTATACCTAACCCTGAACTGTACCCCACAATTTTAAAATAAAAAATATGTTAAAAAAAAAGTCACTACTGGAATGCTAGGGAGTAAGACTGTTAAACTTGGGGAAAGCCTTTGATGTAACCTTTACACTGGCAAAAATAAATGTTCAGGGCAGAGTTATTAGTCGCTGCATTGATCTTAGCCTTGCAGAGGGCCAGGATTTGCCTAAAAAATGTCTCTCATCCTGTCAAATTCAGATCTAGGAAATGTCTTTTGCTGCTTCAAAGTGACAGATAGCCATGGTGTTGGCCACATTCTTTTAAAGATTTCAAAAGTATCACCATGTAGATCTTTCTTTTTTGACCTAGACACAGCTGGAGTGCCCTTTGGAACAACAGTTGCACCAGGAAGCTTCAACTCAGGTAAATCCTAAGCTGTGAAGGAGCACTGTTTGGGAAGAGCTCCTTAGTAAGGTGTCTCCTGGATAGTCCTACCATACATATTTTTCTCAGAGTCGTCAAAGTTTTGTCCTCACTGCTATTTTTTTCCTTTTTCAGAGGCCACAACTTCTTTAGGCAAAAGTAGAACAACAAGAGTTAAATAATCTCAGATGATCTCTGTCAAGCACTAGCTGTACTTTCTTTCATCTTTTTTTGGTCTTTAGATCTGGAGGTACAAATACATGTTACCAGGATATATTGTGGACTAGTGGTGGGAATTAGGCTTCAGGTGACCCATTTCTCAAATAGTGAACACTGTACCCATTAGGCAGCTTCTAAACCATTGCTCCCTCTCTCCCCTTTTATTGTCCCCAGTGTCTATTATTTCCATCTTCATGTTCATTTAACTCCTACATATAAATAGAACATATTGTTTGGTTTTCTTTTTCTGAGTTAATTCACTTAGTGTGATATTCTTCGACTCCATCTATGCTACTGCAATGGACAGGAGTTCATTTGTTTGTATGACTGTGTAGTATGCTATTGTATGTGTATGTACCACATTTTCTTTATCTACTCAATTGTTGATGGGGACTCAGGTTGGTTCCATGATTTAGCTATTGTGAATAGTGCTGCAATGAACATATGAGTACATGGATCTTTTTAATGTAATGATTCTTTTCCTTTGGGTAGATCCTTAATAATAAGATTGCTGAGTCAAATAGTAGTTCTATTTTTAGTTCTTTGAGAAATCTCCATACTATCTTCCATAGAGATTGGTCTAGTTTACATTCCTCCTAAAAGTGTATGAGCATTCCCTTTTCTCTGCATCCCTGCCAAATTTTGTTGTTCGTTGACATTTTTAATGATAGTCATTCTGACTGGTGTGAAATGACATTTCATTGTGGTTTTAATTTGCATTTGTCTGATTAATAATGCGGAGAATTTTATTCACATGTTTGTTGATCACTTGTATGTCTTTCTTTGAGAAGTATTTATACATGTCCTTTGCCCACTTTTTGATGAGGTCGTTTGTTGCTGTTTGTATTCCTTGTAGATTCTGGATATTAGTCCTTTGAGGCACAATTAGCAAACATTTTCTCCCATTCCATAGGATTTGTGTTCACTCTGTTGGTTTTTTCTTTTGCTGTGCAGATGCAGAAGATTTTTCACTGAACTAAGTCCCATTTGTCTATTTTTGTTTTTCCTTCATTTGGGGGAGGAGGTCTTAGACACAGATTGTTTGCCTAGGCCAGTGTCCAGAAGAGTTTTTCCCAGGGTTCTCCTAGGGTTTTTATTTTTTCATGTTTTATGTTTAAGTCTTTGATCCATCTTGAGTTTATGATTATATACAGTGAGAGGTAATGTCCAGTTTCTTTTTTCTTTTTTTTTGAGCTGGAGTCTCACTCTGTCACCCAGACTGGAATGCAGTGGCCGCTCCCGGCCACTGCAGCCTCGACCTGCTGGGCTCTGGCAATCCTTCTGCCTCAGCCTTCCAAGAAGCTGAAACTATAGGTGCGCACTACCACGCCCAGCTAATTTTTGACTTATTGTAGAGATGAGGTCTCGCCAAATTGCCCAGACAGGTCTCGAACCCTCAGGCTCAGGCAATCCACTCACCTCAGCCTCCCAAAGCACGGGATTACAGGCTGAGCCACCGAGCCCAGCTAATGTCCAGTTTCATGCTTCTGCATATGGCTTGCCAGTTTTCTCAGCATCATTTATTGAATAGGGTATCCTTTGCCCATTGTTTTTTGTTGTTGTTGGCTTTGTCAAAGATCAGTTTGTTGTAGGTATGTGTCTCTATTCCTGGGTTCCTTATTCTATTCTATTGATCTTTCTTTTTTTTATTTGTTATTTTAGTTACCATAGCCTTGTAGTATAATTTGATGTCAGTCAGTAAGTGTGATGCTTTCATATTTCATCTTTTTATTTAGGATTACTTTGCCTATGCAGGCTCTTTTTTGGCTCCATATAAACGTTAGGATTTTTTTTTCTAGACTAATGTTACTTTCTAATAATTTTTCAGTATTGCTCGAGTGTGCAAAAAGTTTCTGATTTCCTAGCTTTGGCATATTAGGCAAAAATTTAGTAGATGTTCGATATTTGGCATCAATAATTACAGTTCAGGCATGTCAACTTTTCCTCCGTATGTCTTCTGCCTTGGATCTAAGGGTCCCTCATCAGGTCATCAGGGGTCCCATTCCCTGACAGTTATATGAGTGATTTGGGCCAAAATCTATATCTCTGTAACTAACTGGTAAGAAAGGGAACCAGTGTTGGAGGACTTTCTCTGTAAACTTGCTGAGGTACTGATATGTTTCATGGGACTGATATGTTTCATGGGAAGTATATAGATTAACCCCTAAAATAGAAAATCCAGAGAAATGGTGTCGTATAGAAACAACTCTTTGTTCTCCTTAAAAGCCTATGTTCATTAAGGGCAATGAACTGACCAACTAACCACAATCTTTCTTACAGGTACTACTGAGGGCCTATCTGCCAAAACTCTGGAACCTGGGATTGCCAACACAGGTGAGGAATTCTTAACATGGTTCCTTGGGCAATGTAGCCTATATAGGCCCCAAATGTTCTGTTCACCTTCCGTTCTTTTCTCTCACAGAGGCCACAACTTTCTCAGGAGGCAATAGGACCACCCAAGCAGGATTGCTAGGAGGTGAGCTCTTCAGGTTAAGGCCTGGGCTCTCATCATCTTTCTGTTTGAGTTGCTTCAGTGAACAAATAATATAAAGTAACTTGAGGGAGGGCGTCTGCATTTTTCTGAGACCATATGTGTCATATCAACCTGTAAAATTATTGTGCTTAGAAATTCCATGACCTCAGGTATCTCAGCCAGGCTGTCCTCAGTATCCTGGCTAATGGAGACATTTGTTTCCTGATAAAAGGTGTGAAAGCTTATTGCGTACATTCAACCTTCACAGGACATCTAATTCTCCTGACGCAGTTTTCTTTCTGCCCATGTTTTGTCACTTTCTATCGTTTTTCTTATTTATTTATACCTGATGTTTATTGTTTATTTTTTATCTCCCCTCAGTGGAAAGTTTCATGAGGACAGTTAATTATTAAAATACCCTAAGTTGTAGCAAAAATCCTTCTTATAAATAAACAAAATATGCTTTATTCCTTCCATAGGTACCTCTGGCACAACAGGGGGATATGTCCCTGAAAGGGACACAAGTGAAGATGATATAAACCCTTTTCTACCCTTACCTCATATTGAAAGGGATTTTCAGTGGTAATACATTTATCCCAGATTGGGTCTGGCAATTAAGTGCTAGAAAGTTCTTCTTTCCATTCTCTACAATGATAATGTCCTCAGGAAAGACATCCAGTGCTTTAGGGCTACATTGATGATTTCAAGATTTATTGGAGATGTAATGGTCTATTGCTTCATTTACTGTTCTATATTTTAGGCACTACTGGAGAATTTTCTGGAACAACCATTATATCTGGAAATTCTAACACAGGTAGATTAATAAAAGAAAAATTTATCTTATTTAATCTCAGATGTCATGACGCTTCTGTTAGGCCTACTGTGATAAATATATACCCTAATATGTCCTCCTGGATATCATCACTCTCCTATTTCTTCCCTCAGAAGCCACAACTTCCTCAGAAGGGACTGGAACTACTCGAACTGACTTAAAAACTGGTGAGAATAGACAGTCCAAAATTTGGGGTCATCACAGTTAGAACTCTTTAAGCTTTCCTTGAGTGAGCTTGTGTTTCATTTAGGGATACCACAAGTGATTCAGAATAGGTTTCCTATTAGAGATAATTTCTTTTTGGAATCTACTATTTCTAAAATTGAGTTTCAATGTGTTATTTCTGAAGATGGGATGAGATTTCTCCATTGCTGTTAAAATTACTATCAGCATCTTAGCTGAAATTCAGAACATTTCTCCTGCTTGGTGTATTGTGAAATAGCAGGAGCTCATGGAACCAATACATGCGTGTATATGTGTGTATACATATATATACATATTTGCTTGCTTCATATTTTCTCCTACATTTAATGTTTCCAGAACATTTAGCTCTCTCTCCTTTTTCTACCTCACAGCAGGCATCACTGCAGCACCAGGCAAGCAAGCAGGTAAGCATTGTGGAAATACATCTAGTTTCCCTTTGACCACATTCCTGGCAGAATTGCTGGATACTGGGAACCCTGTCTCTCTGTGTGCTTTGGTAATGAATTGTTGAAAGCAGAAAGATGACTTAACCATCTGCCATATGATCCAAACAAGATATTTCTATAATGGCCAGTAAATACATTATATTTCCTTTAGATTCGGGTCTTCATTTGATTTAGTGAGTCATCATGGTCACCTCAGTCCCTTTGTGTTTCAGGCACCTCTGGGGTTGCCCCTGGCACAATAATTGCCCCTGGAAGTTTCAGTACAGGTGAGTCCACAGTTTGGTGGGGAATCTGTTCATGGGTACATCCTACAATGATATGTCTTCCATTTGGTGCACTACCATTCCATTCCTACTCCATGAATCTGTTTTATGCCCCTCTCAGCAGCCACAACTTCTCCTGGGGCAAATGGAGTGACTGGTGAAACCACTGCAGGTAAGCACTAAGAAACCACTCCTCCTTATAGGAGAAGTTAAGGCCCTTACAGTCCGTTAGGAAATCGAGAATAATGTTTTTCTCTTGTTGATATCTAAAGTGAAATATTGAGTTACATAAATTTTTGTCATTTGATTTTCTGTGAGTTAAAATGGTGTGTGAAAAGCATATATAGATTAGCTCCTGGTTCTAGCAACCTCTGAAATATGGTTGTTGACATAATTCCTTTACCCCCATGCTAGTCATTTTCTCCTCATTGTGGGTAAAAATTTGAAATATTGATTCCTATCAACCCCGTTTCAATTTCCAATATGGTGGCTGCTCCAAAATTATTGGATGTGAAAAGTCTGATACTTTAAGCAATAAATGATGATAGCAGTAAGGAGCATATCTTTAATTTCTGAGTTCCTTATTATATACATTTTTTAATAAGAAATTTATATCTCATTTTAATTAAGAACTACCTAAGGTCAAATGAAGAACATCTGAGTTAAAAGTGTTCTATCCCCACTTTTTAAACAATTAAACATTTATTGAAAATTTATGTGACTTTTAGAGTTAGAAGAACTTTTCTTTGTATTAAGTGACAAGATATTTTCAATTGTGCTTATCTTATATATTAAATCATCTTAACACTTCCATATTCCTTAATACACTGGGGCAGAAAAAACCAGGTGAAGATTTGGGTATTTCATTATTTATTGTCATAGTTCAATTCCAGATTAATAGATTTGTTAGAATAAACAGATTTTTTAATGAGTTTTTTTGGAGGTGTAATTGTAAATAACAGAAAGATTGCAAAGGTAATAGAGAGAATCCCATTAATGTGGAGTGGGTTTTTAAAAATTTCCTTACAAGGTTATTATATTTCCATGGAACCAGGGTTCCTTTGTGGATTTGGAGTTGGAAGCACTTGGGTCCATATTTTCAAAAGGCTTTTCCTTTCACAGACTAATTTCAGGGGTCTGGATCTCTCAAGAGGACAGTTACAATATATATTTCAGGCTCTGAAATGGTTTTCCCTTAGAAAAGAGCTTAGTCTACATAATATTACAGTACTGATTTCTATTCAGCATAGAATTATTAAGACATAGTATTTTAATACAAAGACAGAAATTCAAAATCATTTTTCTTCCTCCTCCTTGTCCATTCTTCACCTCTTCTTCCTTCTCTACCTCTTCTTCTTCTTCCTCCTCTACCTCTTCTTCTTCTTCCTCTTCTCTCTTTTCCTCTTCTTCCTCCTCTTCTCCTCTTCCTATTCCTTCTCCTCCTCCTCCACTTTCTCCTCCTTCTTGCTATTCTTGTTCTTGTCATTGCTATTATTGTTGTTGCTCTTCTTCCATCTCCTCTTCCTCTTTCTCTTTCCTCCCTCACTCCCTTCCTTCCTCCCCTCCTGTTTTCTTCTTCCTTTCTTTACATTAAAAGCCACCACTAAACCATCAGAATGTAAGATGGATCGATCTGGGGAAAGCCTTTGATCAGACCTTTAACCTTAGCAAAAATAATCAGGGCAGTAAAATTAGCCACTGCATTAACATTGGGCTTGCAAAGGCACATGGTCCAGCAAGTGTCCTTTGCTCCTTCAGAGTGACACATAGACATGCTGTTGGCACATTCTTCTGCAGATTACAAAAGACTGACCATGTTGATCTTTCCTTTTTTTCCCTTACCTAGGCACAGCTGGAGTACCCTCTGGGACCACAGTTGTACCTGAAAGTCCCAACTCAGGTAAATCCCCAAGCAGGGAAGGGGCTCTGCTTGAGAAGGGCTTCTCAGTAAGGTGTCTCCTGGGTGGTCCTACCATATTTTCTCAGATTCTTCAAAGCTTTGCCTTCACTGCTATATTTTTCCCTCTTTTGCAGAGGCCACAACTTCTGTAGGAAAAAGTGAAACAAGACCTGAAATAATCACAGGTGGGTGAGCTCTTCGAAGGCACTACTGTGTTTTTAAAGAACTTCCTAGGTTTTGCCTGAAATATGTAAAACATTTGAATTTTTTAGATTTAACATATTAGGCAGAATTTAGCAGATTATTAACATGTGACATGAAGAAATACAGTTCAAACATTTCAATTTTTTATTTTTATGTCTTTGCCTTGGGTCTAGAGATCCCCTAAACAGGGAATCATGGGGCCCATACCCTGACAGTTTTAATAGGTGATTTGGGATATACCTGTAACTAAACCCTAAAAAAAAAGCAGTGTTGGAGGACTTTCTTTGTAAACTTGACAAAGATATGCTATTTTCCATGGGAAAAACACAGATTAACTTTTAAAACTAGAAAGTTCAGAGAAATAAATTTACCAGTAGGTTGAAGAAACAGAATGTGTGTGTGTGTGTGTGTGTGTGTGTGTGTGTGTGTGTGTGTGTGTCCATTAAAAATCAATGCTCATTTTATTAAGGGCAACAACAAATTGATCAACTGAGTATTACAGTCCTTTCTTATTTCTGTTACTACCGAAGGGATCTCTGGTAAAACACTCTGGAACCAGGAAGTACTAACATAGGTGAAAAATTCTAGACATGGCTCTTGGCAATATAGCCTATGGAAGCCTCAGAATGTCCTGTCTAGTCTCTATATCTCTTTTTTTTTCCTCAGAGGTCACAACTTTCCCAGGAGGCAGCAGAACCACTCAAGTGGGACAGCCAGGAGGTGAGCTTTACAGGCTGAGGCCTGGTCTCTCCTCATCTGTCTATTTGGATTGCTGCAGTGAACAAATCATATGAAAGAGGTTGCAAGATGAGTGTGCATTTTCCCTGGTGTCATAACAATCTATGTAATTATTCTGCTTGGAAATCCCATGACCTCAGATGTCTTGGGCAGGTTGTACTCAGTATTCTGAATTGTAGACATCTTTTTTTTTTTTTTTTTGGATAAAATGTAGGGGAGCATATTGTATACATATCACCCTCCAGAACTTCCAATTCTTCTGACACTCTTGACCTTCCCCCCCCATAGGCTGCCAGTGGCTATCATTTTTAAAATTTACTTACCCCTGTTATTTATTGTTTATTTTTTATTTACCCTTACTATGAAACTTCCATGAAGACAACTGATTATTAAAAATGCCCCACGTTTTATCAATAAGTCCTACTTATAGAGAAAAAAAAAAAGCTCTATTCCTTCTATAGCCACATCTGGAGCACCAGAAGGATATGTCCCTGGAAGGGAAATGTAAGGGGATTTAAAGCTCCTTTTTCCCTAGACACATAATGAAAGATAACCCAGTGGCAACACATCATTCCCAGACTGGCCTGGGTAATGAAATGCAAGGAAATTGTTCATTTACTATTCTCTATAGAGAGACAGTGTCCTCAGAAAAGAGTTTCCTTTGCTTTAGGGCCACTTTGATGCTTCAAAGATTTATTGGAGAGGTAATATTCTATCGCTTCATTTACTTTTCCGCATTTTAGGTACCACTGGAGAATTTTCTGGAACGACCATTATATCTGGAAGTTCTCACACAGGTAGGTTCATAAGAAGACAATACCTCTTATTTAATGTCCTCATATTTCTTTTAGAGCTGCTATGATAAAATAACACCCACTGTCTCCTCCCAGTGTTCCAAATCTACACAGTTCATCGTTTTCCTATTTCTTCCCTCAGAGGCCACAATTTTCACAGAAGGGACTGGTTCTACTGGAACTGTACTCAGAACTAGTGAGAATAAACAGCCTATGGTTTGGGGTCATAAGGATTAGAACACTCAATTTTTCCTTGAGAGTTTGCATTTTATTTAGGAATACTGCCAGTGATCCAAAATAGATTCGCTATTACAGATAAAAATTTTTGAAAACCTGCTAATTCCAGAATGGGCCTCATTGCTCTAAGTGTAAAGGTGGGATGGAATTTCTCCATTGGTGTTACAATCACTACCAGTATCTTAGCTGAAATTCAGAACATTTTATCATGCTTGTGTGAATGTGTGATGCAGAAAAGAACCCCATAAAACCAGGAGGTAGGTGTGTGTGTGTGTGTGTGTGTGTGTGTGTGTGTGTGTGTGTTTATGTATAAAGATTAACTTGGTCATTATTTCCTCCCACATCTAAAGGTTTCAGTACACTTAAACCTTTTACCCCCCTTTTATTTATCACAGTGGGCATCACTGCAGCACCGGGGAAGCAAGCAGGTGCAGACTGCAGAAATACATCTAGTTGCTTTTTGACCACATTCTCGGCAGAAGGGCTGGATGCTGGGAACACCGTCTCTCTATGTGCTTTGGTTATGAATTGTTGAAAGCAGACAGCTACAAGTAGCTCACATTATGATCAGAACAAAAGATTTCTGTTGTGGCCGATAAATAAATACATGATAGTAACTTTAGTCCTTTAGATTCGAGTCTTCATTTGACTTAGTGAGTCACCGTGATTACCTCAGTCCCTTTGTGTTTCAGGCACCTCTGGGGTTGCTCCTGGAAGTTTCAACACAGGTGAGACTACAGTTTGATGGGGATTCCTTTCTTTGGTGCCTCCTGCAATGACATGACTTCCATTTTGGTGCTTCTATATAGAAGTGAAAAATCCATTTCTAGCTCCCTCGATCTTTTGTTATTTGTGTCCATTTTTTTTTCCTCTGCAGCCACAACTTCTCCTGGAGAAAGTAGAGTGACTGGAGTTGGTATCCCTGCAGGTAAGTACTGACAAGCGACTCCCTCCTTCCCAATAGACAACACTGCCTGAATTGTGTCTTGTATTTTTACTTCCTGTGAAGAGCATATCCTGGAAAGCCAGAATTTCCCCTAGTAACTAAATGTTAACCCCTCAACCTCTTTTATCCTCTTTTTCTCTGCTTCAAGTATACTTCACCATCAAGTTAAGGCACTAAGAATTAGTTAGGTTATGGAGAAAAATGTGTTTCTTTCTCTTGATAGCTAAAGGAAGCAATTGTTATTGAAATTTTTATTATTCTCTAAGATAGAAATGGTGTGTGAAAAACATATATTTAGATTAACTCCTGGTTCTAGAGACCTGAAAAGAGCTTATTGGGTTATTGAGAAAATACATAGTTCCCTCACCCCCATCCCAGACCATTTTCTTCTCATTATAGGTAAAAAATTGAAATATTGATTCCTATCACTCTCCAATTTCAATTTCCAATATAATGGCCACTGCAAAATTATTGGATAAGGAAACTCTGATACTTAAAGCAATAAATAATGGTGATAGTAGTAATAGGCATATATTTCATTTATGAGCTCCTTAATATATATGTGTTTCACATTTATAAAATCTGTATTTTTAAATTAAAAAAATTATATTGGGGGTATAACCACAGATATCTTGCATGCATATATTGTATCAAGACAAAGACTGGGTTTTTTGTGTATTTATCACTCAAATAGTGAACATTGTACCCAATAGGTGATTTTTCAACCCTCACCCATTCCCACCCTCCTATTTTTTGTAATCTTCAATGTCTATCATTCCACTCTGGTATCCTTGTATACCCATATGTTCAGCTCCCATTTATAAGTGAGTGCATGTGGTTTTTGACTTTCTGTTTCTGAGTTATTTCACTTATGATTATGGCCTCCAGTTCCATCCTTAATATATACATTTTCAATTTACATATTTTTTTTCCAATTAAGAACTATATAAGGCCCCATAAAACATTTTAACCTACATGGTTAAAATGCTTTCAAAACACTTTTAAAACAATTAATCTTGTGTTTTAAAAGTTCGTGTTAATTTAACAGTCAAATGAACTTTTGATTTAGTAGTAGGTGATAAGACATTTTCAGTTGTGCTTATCTAGTATATTAACATCATCTTAGCACATCCGTCTTCCTTAATATTCAATTATTTTGGTTTTCTTTCCTTGCTTAAGAGACCACAACTTTCCTAGGAGGAAGTGCCACCACTGGAGCAAGAATAACATCAGGTGAGGTTTGGGGGTTTTCATTATTTGTTTTTCTTTCTTTCTTTTTTTTTTTTTTGGTCTGATTCCAGGTTAATAGACTTGCTAGATAAAGCAGATCCCTGTTTAAATGAGCTTTTCATTTTGGAATAATTTTAAAATGCAGAAAATTTGCAAAGACGAAACAGAGAATCCCATTAATGTGGAGTAGTGTTTTTAAAAATATCCTTTGGAAGCTATGGTATTTCAAAGGCACCAGGTTCCTTTTTGGGTTGGATTTGGAGCCACTTAGATGTAAGTTTCAAAAATGCTTTCCCTTCTCAGGGACTGTCCTTGGGGTTCTAGGTCTCTCAAGAGGATAGTTAAAATACTTTTTGTCGTGAATGGGTTTCCCTTTGAAAAGAACTTAGTCTGTATAACATTACAGCATTGACTTCTATTGTGCCTAGAGATTTTAGATGTAATATTTTAGTTGAAAGATAAAAATTCAACATCTTGTATTCCCCTTCCTCTTCCGCTTTGTCCTCATTCTCCTCCTCCTTTTCCTTCTTGTCTTCCTCTTCTTTTTCTTTTCATTAGAGGCTACTACTGGAACACCAGGGAGTAGGACAATTAAATATGGGGAAAGTCGTTGATGTGACCTTCAACCTTGGCAACAATAAATAACGAGGGCAGGGATATTAGCCACTGCATTGACCTTGGCCTTGCAGAGCACCAGAATAAGCCCAGGAAATGTTTCTCCTCCTGTCAGTTATAGATCCAGAAAGTGTCTTTTGCTGCTTCAAAATGACCCATAGCCATGGTGATGTTGGCTACATTCTTTTAAAAATTACAAAAGTGTCACCATGTTGATCTTTCTGGTTTTTTGTTTGTTTGTTTTCCCCAACCTAGGCACAGTGGAATTGCCCTCTGGTACAACAGTTGCACCTAGAAGCTCCAGTTCAGGTAAATCCCCAAAAAGCACTGCTTGGGAAGGGCTCTTCAGTAAGGTGTCTCCCTGGGTGATCCTACCATATTTTCTCAGATTCTTCAAAGCTTTGCCCTCACTGCTATGTTTTTCCTGTTTCTCATAGGTCACAACTTCTGTAGGAAAAAGTGGAACAACAAAAGTTGAAATAATCTCAGATGATCTCTGTTCAGGCACTAACTGTACTTTCATTTTTTTCCTTTAGGTTTGAGAGTACAAATGATGTTACATAGATATATTGTGAAATGGTGGGGATCAGACTTCAGGTGTCCCCATTTCCCAAATAGTGAATGTCATACCCACTAGGAAGCTTCTAAACCCTTGTTCCCTTTCCATCTCCTCATTTTAGTGTCCCCAGTGTTTATTGTTTCCATCTTTTTTGTCCACTTAGCTCCCAGGTATAAATGAGAATATAGATATTTGTTTTTCTCTTTCCAAGTTATTTCACCTAAGATAATGTTTTCAGGGTTCATACATGTTGCTGCAAAGGACATAATTTTGTTCTTTGTTATGGTTGCATAGTACACCATGGTGTATTGTGTGTGTGTGTGTGTGTGTGTGTGTGTGTGTGTGTGTGTATAACTATTTGTTTATCCGGTCAATTGTTGACGTGCACTTAGGTTGGTTTCATAACTTTGCTATTATTAATAGTGCTGCAATTATCTTTTTTATATAACTTATTTTCCTTTGGGAAGTTACCCAATAGTGGGAATGCCGGGTCGAATGGTAGTTCTAGTTTTAGTTCTTTGAGAAATCTCCATACTGTTTACCAGAGAGGTTGTTCTAGTTGACATTCCCACCAATAGTGTATGACCATTCTATTTTTCTCTGCATCCATACCAGTAACTGTATTTCTCTGACTTTTTAATGATAGCCATTTTGAGTGGTATTAGATGCTATCTAATTGTGGTTTTAATTTGTCTTGCTCTGATTAGTGATGGTGAACATTTTTTCATGTTTGTTATCTACTTGAATGTCTTCTTTTGAGAAGTGTCTATTTATGTCCTTAGCCCACTTTTTGATGGTGTTTGTTTTCTTGATGTTGAGCTCTTTGAGTTCCTTGTAGATTCTAGATATTAGTCCTTTGAGGCATAATTAGCAAATGTTTTCTCCCATTCTATAGTTTCTGTTCACTCTGTTGATTATTTATTTTACCGTGCTGAAGATTTTTAGTTTAATTAAGTACAATTTGCCTATATTTGGTTTTGTTGTTTTTGTTTTTGGGGACTTCCTCATTAATTATTTGCCTAAGACAGTGTTCAGAAGGGTTTTTCCTAGGGTTTCTTCTAGGATTTTTTATTTCACGTCTTACATTTAAGTCTGATCCATCCTGAGTTCATTGTTGTATATGGTGAGAAGTAGGGTCCAGTTTCATGCTTCTGCATATGGCTAGCTAGTTTGACCATTCTCATATATTGAATAGGATCTCCTTTGCCCATTGTTTATTTTTGTTGGCCTTGCCAAAGATCAGTTGGTTGTAGGTATGTGACTTTATTTCTGGGTTCTCTGTTCTGTTCCATTGATCTATCTTTCTATTTTTGTACCAGTACCATGCTATTTTAGTTACCATCACCTTGAGTATAACTTGAAGTCAGATAGTGTGATGCCTTCATATTTCGTCTTTTACTTAGGATTACTTTGGCTATGTGGGCTCTGTTTTGGCTCCATATAAACTTTAGGATTGTTTTTCTAGACTAGCTGTACTTTATGATAACTTCCCAATGTTGTCTGAGCATAGAAAAAGTCTCTGAATTTCCTAGCTTTGGTATATTAGGCGAAAATGTAGCAGATGTTTAATACTCAGCATCAATAATTACAGTTCAGACAAGTCAACTTTTCCTCCTTATGTCTTCTGCCTTGGATCTAAGGTCCCCTCATCTGGTCATCATGAGGCCCATTCCCTGACAGTTATATGAGCAATGTTGGCCCAAATCTATATCCCTAAAACCAACTGGTAAGAAAGAGAGTCAGTGTTAGAGGATGTTCTCTGTAAACTTGCTGAGGGACTGATATGTTTTATGGGAAATGTATAGATTAACTCTTAAAATGAGAGAGTCCAGAGAAATAAATTAAGTGCCATAGTAAAGAAACACCATTTTTCTTCTTTAAGAACTTATCTTCATGTCATTAAGAACAATGAACTGACCGACTCACTCAGTCCTTCTTTCAGGTACTACTAAGGGCATCTCTGCCAAAACTCTGGAACCTGGAAGTTCCAACACAGGTAAGAAGTTCTGAACATGGTCCCTTGGGCAATGTAGCCTATGGGACCCCCAAGTATTCTGTCCAGTATTTATACATCCCATTCTTTGTTTACTCAGAGGTCACAGCTTTCCCAGGAGGCAACAGAACTACCCAAGCAGGATTGCCAGGAGGTAAGCTTTCCAGGCTGAGGCCTGGGCTCTCAACATCTGTTTACTTGAGATGCTTCAGTGAACAAATAATATGCAGTAACTTGGGGGAGTGGTTTGCATTTTTTCTGGGGCCATATCTTTCATATTCACCTGGGAAGTTATTATGCTTGGGTATTCTATGACCTTAGATATCTCAGCCAGGTTGCCCTCAGTGTCCCGACTTGTGAAGACTTTTTTTTTCCTGATAAAATGTGTGAGAATGCATTACATAGATTCTACCCCTCCAGAACTTCCAATCATTCACTCTCAGTTTCTTTTCTGCCCTTAGCCTGTCACTTTCTATTATTTTTCTTATTTACTTATGCATGTTTATTGTTCATTTTTTAATTTCCCCTCAGTAGAAAGCTTCATGAAAACAACTGATTATTTAAATGCACCAAGTTGCCAGGCAGGGTGGCTGTTGTTTGTAATCCCAGTACTTTAAGGGTTGAAGGTAAGAGAATTACCTTAGCCCAGGGGTTTGAGACCAACCTGGGCAGCTTAGTGAGACCTCACATCTACAGTAAATAAAAAAATTAACTAGGCATGGTAGCTCATGCCTGTGGTTCTATCCTTGGAAGGCTATGGCAGAAGGATTACCTGAACCCAGCAGGTTGAGGCTGCGGTGGCCATGAGCATCCTGCTGCACTCCAGCCTGGGCATCAGAGTGACTCCAACTTAAAAACAAACAAAAAACTGCCAAGTTGTATCAAAGAGTTCTATTTATAATGAAAAAAATGCTTTATTTCATCCATAGACACCCAGATACAACAGGGGTGTATGTTCCTGGAAAGGGATATGTCCCTCTTCTCTCTTTACCTCATGGTGAAAGGGAAATCCAGTGGCAACATATTCATCACTGGTTGGCCTGGCAATAAAGTTGTTCATTTCCCACTCTCTACAGTGATAGAGTGTCCTCAGGAAAGACATTCTGTGTTTCAGGGCCACATTGATCATTTTCGGATTAATTGGAGAGGTAGTGGTCTATTGGCCCATTGACTTTTTGCAGTTAGGTACCACTACAAAATTATCTGGAATGACCATTATATCTGGAAGTTTTAACACAGGTAGATTTCTTAGAAGACAATACCTTTTATTTAATCTCAAATGTCCTAATATCTCTGTTAGGACCGCCGTTATAAAAATATACCCTAATATCTCCAGTGAGTATTCCACATTCCTGTTTCTTCTCTCAGAAGCTACACTTTCCACAGAAGGGACTGGTACTACCAGAACTTTATTAAAAACCAGTGAGAATAAAAAGCCCATGATTTGAGGTCACCAAAATTAGGAACTCTAAGTTTTCCTTGAGTGAGTTTGCATGATATTTGGGAACACTATAAAGTGATTCAGAATTGGTTTGCTATTAGAGATTTCTTTTTAAAAATATACCATTTCTAAAATTGAGTTTCTCTACTTTAATTCTGAGGATGAGATTTCTTCATTGCTATCACAACTATTACTAGCATCTTAGCTGGAATTCAGAACTTCTTTCATGCTTGTGTGTATATGTGAAATAGAAGGGAGTCCATGGAATCAACTCATGCATGTATATATGTGTATATACATATATGTAAATTTTTGCTTGCTTCATATTTTCTTCTATGTCTAATATTTTCAGCACATTTAAGCCCCACCTCCCTTTTCTACCCTAAAGCAGACAGCACCGCAGCACCCGGGAAGCAAGCAGGTGAGCATTGGGCCATGCCTCTGGTTTCTCTTTCATAGAATTCCGAGCAGAAGTGCCTGACATTGGGAATACTGTCTCTCTATCTCCCCTAGTTATGAATTGCTGAAAGCAGCAGAAAAATGTAGTTCACCAAATGCCATGTGCCAGAGCAAGAGAACTCTGTTATGGCCAATAAATAAATACATTATATTCCTTTTAGATTTGGATATTTGCCTTACTGAGTTACCATGATCACCTCAGTCCCTTTGTGTTTCAGGCACCTCTGGGGTTGCCCCTGGCACCACAGTTGTCCTTGGGATTTTCAGCACGGATGAGTCCACAGTGTGTGGGAAATCCTTTCTTGGGTACTTCCCACAATGATGTCTTTCCTTTTGTTTTTCTAGACTAACTGTACAGCAGATGTTTAATATTTGGCATCAATAATTACAGTTTAGACAAGTCAACTTTTCTTTCTCCTTCCTTTCCTCCCTCTCCTCCTCCTCTTCCTGCTTTCTTTTTCTTTTCATTAGGAGCCACCACTGGAGTACCAGGAGGCGAGACAGGTAAACTTGGGGAAAGCCTTCGATGGGACCTTCACCCTGGGTGAAAATAAACAATAAGGCAGAGAATATTAGCCACTGCATTATCATTGCCCTTCCAAAGGCACAAACTAAACACGGGAAATGTCTTTCCTCTTGTCAGTTATAGGTCCAAGTAGTGTCTCTATTGCTGCTTCAGACAGATGTGATATTGGCCACATTCTTCTAAGGACTACAAAAGTGTCACCATGTTGACCTTTCTCTGTTTTTCTTATCTAGGCACAGCTGAAGTGCCCTCTGGGACAACAGTTGCACCTGAAAATGTCAACTCAGGTAAATCACCAAGCTGGGAAGGAGCACTGTTTGTAAAGGGCTTCTCAGTAAGGTATCTCCCTGAGTGATCTTACCATACTTTTCTCAGAGTCTTTAAATCTTTACCCGTACTATTATTTTTTTTTTTTTTCTCAGGGGCCACATCTTTCTCAGAAGTTACTGAAGCAGTAACAGTACCAGGTAAAAATGAGAAGTCTGTAAATCCCTTCTACAAATTTCAATTGGTTTAAATAAATGCAGATTGGTTTCTGTCATAGAAATCTTTGTCTGAGCCCCCAAATTCTAGAATAGTCATGCTTTACCCAAATCTTTACTTTTACATACAGTAGCTCATTGTACAAGGAGGCTTCTAATGTGAGAGTTTAGCTTTGGCATTTTTTGGGAGCAAGAGAAATGTACTTGTGGAAAACATAGGAGAAACCCTGGGATAGATCTTCTATGACTTGAAAGACATGTGTAATGTTTCTCTTAGCCCTTCTTTTAATGTAAAGGAAGTGACTTATCAGTCCTTTCTTCCTTGTGATTTTAGGTACCAGAGGAGTAGTCTTTGGCACAACTGCTGCACCTGGAAGTTCCCTCAAAGGTAGGAATATTTTCAAAAGGTAATCATCTCCTGTTTAAACTCAAGAAGGAAAATGTTTCCCCCAAAATACTTTCAACTTTTTTCATTTGCTTTTCCAGAAATAAAAACTTCCTTAGAAACCATGAGAGCTACTGTAGTGAAGTTAATGAGAACTAGGAGTCCCAGATGTTTGAATGGCCATTGAGTACCATCATGAGTTTGCCTCTTATTCTGAAAGATGGTTATTCAGGAAGGGCAGCCCACCCCTCAGGCCAGCCATGCTGTTGACACACACCCTTCAGGTGATTTCTGTACCAGCCTTTTTCAGTGCCAGGCCTTGGGATGTAGATTTCAGGAGAGGGTAGTAGGAGCTATAATTCCTTGGTGATTAAATCAGCAGGAATCAACATTGGCCCAGAAGGTTCTGTCGCAGATACACAGTTGACTAAAATGAACTCAGAAATTAATTGCTCCCATTTAACTTTTCACCTTGAACTTTAAATATTATGTTGCTTCATGGTTGCTTCAGTGATTGACTTAAGGTCAAAGATACTCAGAATCTTTTTCCTTCTTTCAATCATCAGGAACTACCTCTGAAGGATCAGACAATCCAGTCACTGGAATTAAAACAGGTAAATATGGAAAAAAAAAAAAACCAAAACAAAACAATTCCTGTGTCTCTTATTTGAGGGTTTTCATTATATTTATTAAATAAGCCTACTAGAAGATAGGTTTCTTGAGATAAAGTCTTCATTAATTTTGTTCACTGGTCCCTAGTACTAAACAGAGCTCAATAAATATTTATGAATGTATGAAATAATTGATACATAGGAAAAATACATGACTCAATCCAGGAGCAAAAAGTCACTGGAAAGACATGTTTATCAGACAGTTATGTAGACAAAGCAGTCTGGATGAATGGTGCCTCCCATAGCTGGCTTGCATACAATATGAGTGGCATAGCTCTGAAAATATACATTTATTTTATATACCTAGATAGTCTCAGTGCAGAAAATCCTTCATGATGTGACCATGGCCTTCTCATTTCAGGCACCACTGGTGTGGCCTTGGGCACAACTGTTGCACCAGGAAGTTCCAGGACAGGTAGGTTAACCAGCTGAGAGGCAAGTGTCCTTTCTGGAAATAAGGGATAAAAACATTTGGCCAGGCTCTGTGACTCATATCTGTAATCCCAGCACTTTGGGAGGCCTAGGTAGGAAGATTGCTTGAGGCCAGGAATTTGAGACCAGCCTAGGCAACATAGTGAGACCCCCATCTCTACAAAAAATAAAATAATTAGCTGGCATGATGGCATGCACCTGTAGTCCCAGCTACTTGGAAGGCTGAGGCAGAAGGATCACCTGAGCCCAGGAGGTCAAGGCTGCATTGAACCATGATTGTGCCACTGCACTCCAGCCTGTCTCAAAAAGAGGAAAGTCTTTCACATTCTTCTTCTCATGTCAGAGTATCACTGTATATTTTCTCTTCTACTAAATCCCCATCCCTTACCTGCTTCATCTCTTTTCTTCCAGAAGCCACAACTTCCACAGGAGTCAGTGGAACCACTACAGTGGAACAGAAAACAGGTGAGAATTAATGGTGGTGTGCATGTTTGTGTGACTTTGGGGTGATGATAAATTACAATTATACTTTGCTTCTTAGTGGTTAGTTTCTTAAGGAGTAGTATTTTAGGAACTCTTATCTGAAATCAACAATATTTTCTTTTGTTACTTGATTTGGAATCAGTTTGGGCAGATTGCCTTCCATTTTCAGGACCCAACCTCACACATGTAGATCCTTGCAAATGAAAGTGGAAGTGATAATTTTCTGCAAGGTTTTCTTTTCTTTTTTTCCCATCTTAGATTTCACCAGGATATTAGTAGAAGGAACTACAAACTCAGAGGATTCTATTTCAGGTAAACAGAAGGCCAAAACGAACACAGAAAATTTATCTCAGAACAGTATATTCTTCACTGAGCACAAAAGTGACTGAAATATAGAGTAGTTATTTCAGTAACTCAAGTCTGACTTTACACTCAAAAGTTCTGCTATTTTCATCCTTTTAGGAGCTACTACCAGAGGGTCAGTAAACCAAGGAACTGGAAGCACGATAGGTAAATATGGCCATTAAATTTCCAAAAAAGGGGGGCTCCCATTCCCCCCTTTCCTCCCATTCCCATTGAGGAATTTACATCTTTATTTGGTTTGGGAATAAAACTGTGCATGAGAAAACACAAATAATTCACTACTGGTTGAAAAAAGTTCAAAAGACAAACTGAGTCTCTCCCAACTTAGTCCCTCCCAGGCAGAGAAAAAAGTCATCACTGTTGTTTGCGTTGCAGGCTTCACTAGGGTAGCTTCTGGCACCACACTTGGACCTGTAAGTTCAAAAACAGGTGAGCCAGCTAGATGGCAAAATCCCTCCACAAATGACTCTAGTAGTAAAGTGTATTTAATATCATTACCAAGAATAGGACAACCTTAGCTTTCCTCAGAATGTTAACTCCTTCTAACCTCATATTTGTTTACTTTTTCTCTCTCTTAGAAGCCACTGTATCCTCTGGAGGCAGTGGAACCACAGGAAGTAGAATGAATACAGGTGAGCCCACAAACTTCCTAACCACTCCTCTTTTCTCTTACAAGAATAGCTAACACTTTTGAGCACAAACTACATGTCACACACGAATCTACACCCTTATTATTATTATTTCTTGTATCCTTCACCCCAAATTGTGAGGTAAGTACTATTGCTTTCATAGATAAGAAAACCTATGGCACAAAGATATTAAGATGTTAACAAATTTGACCAAGATCACACAGTAAGTGAATAGCAGATTTTAGCTCAGGTAGTCTGACTCTAAAATCCATCCACTTAACCATGATACTAATCTATTACTGCACTGTACCACTCAATCCCTTTGTCACATGTCTAAGCTTTTCTAGAATACTACAATTTCTATAACACCAGTATTTTGCCCCAATGAAAATTCAACAGGTAATCAATCAATCCTGTTTTGTTTCTCCTCTAGGGGTAGCTGGTAGCCAGGCAACTGGTATTAAACCAGATAAGTAAAATAAAATACCTTTATTTCCCTGACATTGAGCCTAGACAACGGGGTGTTATTACAGAGGCTCTACTACGACCTCACATCATACCTTCCCCCCACCAATTTTATCTTGAGACTGAAGCATTGCATTAACAAATACACAAAACAACTCTGGAAAAAGCTATCTCTGAAAATGGTCTTCTCACATGAATAAAGAATTACCTAGTTTCCCCTTTCTTTTCTCGAATATGCTTTTCTTATTATAAGAATAAAATTGACATAATGGTACCCTTCCATTTTGCTTTTAGGTACAACTGGAGTGGTCCCTGGTAGCACCATATTACCTGGCAGTTCCAACACAGGTGAGTCAGTGAGGAAACAGGCACTATGTTTTTTTTTCCCCATTGGGTCTAGCTGTGGAGCAATACCACAGTATTTCTTTCCATGAGACCCCACTACTTTCTTCCTCTTTATTCTCTAAAGCTACAAATTCCATAGAAGGAAGCATAATACGCGAAGGTAGGTAACTCTTGAGTTCCCACTATATTTGACTTTAGCTGTACAAAGCTTAGGTTTATGAAAAATGCATCATTTCTTCTGGGGGGCAAGTCTTATAGTATAATTCTGAAGAGGCCCAGAGTCCAGAAAGATTTTCCCTTTTAACATTCAAGCTATTAGCTCAGTGCTTATGGAGGCAATGCAAGTTCATAGAATTCTAGCTAGGAGAGCAGAGAACATGAGAGGAACTCTGGAGATTTAGGTCTCTCATGTTTTGGATTTCAGATGTCATAAGTTTATTAATTGAATACAGCTGAATACCTTTACACAAATATTATATCTATCTCTTGCTATTAGAAGCTACCACTGGCACATCTGAGAGGCCAAGCCCTGGAAGTGAAACAGGTAATCGTGGGAACAGCCCTGATACCTCTGATATTTAAGCCTGAGCAAGCAAATAGTCAAAGACGGACCATGGGCTAATGTTAATATGCTTATTGTGACTTTGAATTTTAAAATGGAGAGTGTACTTCATCTTGACAGGATAGCACAAGAAGGGTCTTCTACTTTCTAGTCATAGACAGTCCTTGTTAGCTATATTCTTTTTGGGATGGCACATGTGCTCTCTCCCTCTCTCCCTTTCTCCTACTTCAGGCATCACTGGTGTAGTATCTGGCACAGCAGTTGCATCTGGAACTTTCAATACAGGTAAATCAATAACCTAACAGGGAAAATCAGGAGCTTCAGTCATGGGATAATCCTTCCTACAACCCCTCCTCTGAAACATACAAATTCTCTACCATGCCCTTGGGAGATTACCAAATTTTGGCTATGCTCTTCACGGGATGGCAAATGCATCACTATTTGGGTTTTCATTTTCTTTCTCCCTCTCTCCTCTTCACCTCCCCCTCTCCCTCCTCCTCCCCTCCCCCCTCTTCCCTTTGCACTCCCTCTCCCTCCTCTCCCCTCCCTCTCTTCCTCCCTATCTCCCTTCTTCCTTACCTCTCTCCTACTTCAGGCACAACAGTTGCATCTGGAAGTTCCAACACAGGTAAATCAATCAACTAACAGGGAAAATCAGGAACTTCAGTCATGGGATATTCCCTTCTACGACCTCTCCTGTGAAACATATATATTCCCTACCATGCCCTGGGAATATCACCAAATTTTCTCAGTTATATGGATTCTTCTGAATTTGCTTCCTTTTTCCTTTCACTTAGAGGCCACAACTTTTTGGGGAGACGGTGGAACTACCAAGACTGGAATTAAAATAGGTGAGTGCTTGCAGTCAAATATTACTTTTCTCTTTATCTTCAAGTAAATCATGTTGGCTATAGTGAAACTATAGTGTACATTTTACTCAATCTCTCTTTGAGTACTAATTGCCAGGTTATTAACACTTTACTCCTTGTAAATTGCCTTTTATTTTTTATACTTGTAATGAAATGGCATAATGGAGACCATGCAAGAGGTATCACTTAAGGCAAGAAAGTTTCTGTTATAAACCTTTTAGTTCACTTGAGAAACCAATCAATTTTTTAAAACAAAATCATACTTTTATGTAAAAGGGCTGTAAGTCTATTTTCTCTTTTTGTGATTGCAGTTACCACTGGGTCAGCTACTGGCACAACCATTGCATCTGGGAGTTCCAGCACAAGTGAGTCATGAAAGAGTTGAAGAAAACTGCAGACATGAACTTCAGAGGACCTGATCCTCTTACAGGGATGGTACATGAAGTAATAGTGTTACACATTTTTCCAAATATCTGCATTTCATGCCACTTTCTCCTATTTCTTCTCAGAGGCTACGACTTTTATACAAGTCAGAGCTACCACTGGAGTTGGAGTGACAGCTGGTGAGTAGTTTGCTCTTTCAGGCTTTGGGGTTCTCAACAATACTCTGCTTGAGTTTGTTGGAGTTGTTGAATGAGATGGGCTGAATGAGATGTGTTTTGTATTTCATTTGAAATGAAATACATGTGTCAGGGAAATCAGGCTTAGGCTCTTGCTCTTCAGACTGATGTTCCTCCATACTCCACCCCTGTGAGATTTGCTTTGGTGCTGCTAAGAATGATGTGATCATCTCTGTCCTTCACCTATCTTGTCTTTTTAGGTGCCACTTCAGGATCAGCTGGAGTTTCCAGGGGTCCAGAAAATTCTAGCCCTGGTTCGTAGACATGTTTAATCCACCCTTCTTTAATGTCTATTGAGTAAAAAACCCATTTTCGTGGGCTTATCATCATGACTAAAATCCTAAAAAATTTAATTAAAAAAAAAATACTCAGCCGGGCTCGGTGGCTCAGCCTGTAATCCTGCGCCTTGGG